TGACAAGATACACTGTAATACCAATGGATCCTCTGGTCCTGCGCCCATTCTGATACCACCTTTGTGGTAAATTAATCCCTTGAGCAAAAGCAATGTGTGGGGGATGCCATGCCAATGAATGAGGCATTCTGTAAGCCCTCAATTAGTGTGTTGGTGGAGACTTTGTTGACAGAGAATGCAAATTCATTGCCATCGAAAGTTTTAATTTCAGTACGGATGGATTGTTACCATCTTCAGGGTGGAAGGGCCACAGACCCATTGTACCTTCTGTGAAACACTCTAGAGCTAGAACTTTCAATTTTACCTGGCCTCCATTTGCTTCTATTCTAACCGGAAAACCATGCTATCATTTCAGGTCCCCTGAATTTCACACCCTTCATCCAACAGTCCTTGAAAAGTCTAAGTGTCATTCTTCCCAATTTTCACCTGGCCTCCATTTGCCCCCATTGTGACTAGAGGACCATGATGGCTCTTCTGGTCCTCTGGCAGTAGTGTTAATTCATATCCCTTATCCAAAGTCCTCCAAAATGCTAATTATTCTTTTGAATGTAGTGTTACTCTGGTAAATGGCCACAGGGTCCTTTGTGGAAGGATAGGGAGAATGTTTATAATCATTCTTGTGATAGATAGGGTCTTTCCTCAAGGGTACTCAGCCTCCCTTTTAACCAATGAGATCGGGGTCTGTGAATTTATATAAATCTAAATTGGGTTAAGGACCCAGATTTTCCATTGGGGTAGCTGATGATAGGATTCTGCCCTCCAGTTCTCTTTGTTACACACACAAACAAGTAATCACCCAGTCAGCTGTTCACTTGTCTCATCTCTAAAAACACTATGATTAGTCCTTGCCACGGATTCCTGCAGATCAAGGCAACCTGATTGCTACTGCAGACTTCTGCCTGTGTCAGTAATTACACCATCTTGCCTCTAATCAAGTATTGTTACATGGGTTCTGCACATTCAAAAATCCTCTAATCCCACTGATATCAGCGAGATTGGTTCCATAGCAGCATTTCCACCTAACTCTGACCTTTGGAGGACAGGCATCATCAAATTTGTTTAAAAATGTTGATGTCCCTCTCATCAGTGAATTTCTCTTTGCCTTCCTCAAGGGAATGTGCTAGGTTTCAGATATCACATAACAAATTCAGTTTGACGTGAGCCTTTGGACTCATCCTTTATGTTAAGTCAAAGCATTTTCAGCATCTCTACCTCATTGTCCTACTGGCCATCATCACATCCAGCCCTCAAGGAAACCTACCAGCAACGAATTAGGACCAACTCCATGTGTTCTTTTTAACATCAGTGAGAGAGAATCATCGATCAACTGACTCTTGCACACCCCCTACTGGGGTGTGCATGGCCTTGACTGGAATGGAACCTGGGACCTTCAGTCAGCAGGCCAACGCTCTATCCACTGAGCCAAACCAGTTTCGGCTCCATGTGTTCTTATTAGGATATTAAACACCAGGTCATGAGTGAGTATTCCAATACATAAATTCTCTATGCAGCCAGCCTTGTTTTATTCCTCCTACTAGTTCAGCCCCTACATAATTTCCCTGTTTCCTTTTAGTTTCTAATGTGGGACCTGCAATTACTGTAAATCATTTTCTCCTGAAGTAATGATATGTCCCTGCTCAGGTGTCAGAGATCTGATCCCAGGTACTGGCATACAGATGATGATTTGTGGCATCCTGTGTTATTTTGAGAGTTATATTCTTCATATAGGGCTCCAAATCTTTGCAGAGTCTCAAGGCAATAAGAGGATGCCCTCATTTAGCAAGGAGAATTAGACTGCTTCTACCAAAGTGGGGAGTTCAGGGAAATCTGAGAGTGATTCCCACTCATCTATCCAAACACCCGTATTCCAGCATTCAAGATTACATAGTTTTCTACCAGAACCTGAACTCAGTACACCCAAAGAGGCTGTGCCTGCAGTTTCCTTTGCAGCTATCTAGTCTTGATAATTTGATCCGGAGCCTGATTTTCAACACAGTCTTTCCTGCAGGTGCAGGAAATGATGATCTCCTATAATACCTAGTGAGTGTGAGTCAACCCTTAACCTTCCACCTGCATCTCTGCCCAACCAACCTCATATAAGAATCTGAGTAGCTGCATGTCACTGGCTATCACCACCTCATATCCCATCACCAGTGGGGTCTTCATTGCCATTTGACTGATGGGTTACTCAGTTCCCAAATCCCATTCTAATTACCTGTTTTTCAGGGCTAATCCAATACTGGCCATCTTTCCCACAGTACCCCTGAAAGCAGAATGTGAGACACAGAGCTGCATGAGAATAATTTATTGGAGAATGTGTCACAAGCAGCAGAAGTGATTAACAGGAGAATGGCATTGAGAAGGATGAAAAGGCAATAAAGAATGTACTATCAAATGGGCCATTGGTGTAAACTGGTTCTGATCACATAGGACATTGTGGGAAATCTTATGAAATGTGTATCAATACTTCCATCCTAAGGTTGAAGAGGAGAATCATTTATTCACCAGTTCATTTGATCAATGATGGGCCCACAAAGGTTAAGACCCCACACTAACAAGTTTAAGTGTTGAATGCTGAATGGGTTCCCTTAAGAATCAGAGAAGCCTCAGGGATCAGAAAGTAAGAGGTCTCCATTGCAGGCTCAGGGCCAGCCCACAGTTGAGTTACAGCTGTGTGAAGCTAGTCGAAGCCTGAGTGCAAAGGGTCCTAAGCAGCTGCGGCTGGAATCAAAGATAAGGCCGAGAAGATCTGCATAATATAAGTCAATGTGAAAGAGGCCTGATTTGCAAGAGGCTTACTAGTAGGGATGGGTGGGAAAGCAACCTGGTGGGCCATAGAATGGTTACCTGTCATCATCTTGTGTCTACACCGAACAAAATATAAAGAGAATTGAAAAGATTTGTAGATTGCGAGGATTGAGTGGAATAATACAGGTGAAGCTCCTATCAACTTAAGTGTGCAATAAATAGGAGCTTTAAAAAAAAATCTGTATTATTCAAATCTTGATAATAGGGCACAGCTCTTGGCAGGTATATATTTGTATCCCAATAAATACACGATGAATTAAAAATTCAGGCTGAAGATGCTGAAGTCTGTAACCTGTGTCTGCCAGCAGCCACCCTTTGTCGATTTTACTTTCACTACCATAAATGCTGTCCTCTGAAACTCCAAATTGTTGGTTGGGAGGTGGGGGTGTTATTTTTAGAGAAATAGCACACACACACACACACACACACACACACACACACACAAATCCAAAGACATAATTACAGATGCTGCTATAGAATGGGGAAATGGAGGTGTAGCAGGTTGGTGTGTTAGGGTGTATTTTAAATGTCTTGCCCACTAGATGGTGGAACAGAGTCCCTAACCTGACAACAGAATTCTTTCTCACAGGCTTGAGTCTCTCAAACAACGCCACACAGGACTTGGCACGTAAAACCCAATCAGTTAAATGTTTTCAAAACTTTTGCTTGTTAAGCAGTGAGCTGAAACGACAAAGGTGGGAAAGGTTAGGAAGAGATGAGAAGCAAGAACTACAAGGACTAGGGGAGCTAAACTACGTTTCCCAGAAGCCCACGGGTTGGACCTACAACACCCATCATGCCTGTGTTCCCGCTCTCCTAACCGGTCGGTGCTTCCACGTTTGCGAGAGCGCGGAGGGAGACGCGGGGTCTCTACCGTGAGGCAGCGACAGCTCTTCCCGCTTTAGTGTCCTAAGCCGAGGCTATTCCCACCCTCACTCTCTGAGGCAAAAAGACGCTAACCGCGGTCCCGTCGGAGCCACAGGCCACGTGACAAGCCCGGGTCATGTGACTCCGAGCCCGGCGGCTGACGTCCGTTACCGTGACAACTGCCGGGCCCCCAGCGGACTTCCCGGCCCAGCGCGGAGTTCGGAGGCGCAGGTGGGTGAGGCGCGGGCACGCTTCCCGGGCCCGAGGGTGTGCTCAGAGCTTTCGTTTGGGGTCCCTCGCCACCTCCGCCCCGACTCCATCTGCAGGTGCGCCTTTGTCTTCCCGCCGCCCCCGGAGCCCGCGCTTCCTGGAGCCGGGACCCCTGCCGAGGGGGACCCAGTGGGTGGATCCGCCTCTGCCTCTGCCCTGGAATTTAAGGCCCAGACCGTCACCGCACGCACCTTGAAGGCTTGAGAGACGCAGATGAGGGCGAGGAGGGGCTCTTCTCCCGCTGGCTGGGTGCGGGGTGTGGGGCTCTGCGCGCACCCTCCCCTCTCCCCGCTTCTGAGCTGGGAAGCCGCCTAGCGAGGCGCCCCGGAAAGCTGAGTTCCAAAGGGGGTGCTGGGGGAGCTTTATGCAGCACGTCGCCTTTGCATCGTTTTTTTTTGTTGGCTTTCCCTCGGGACAAAATCAACAGCTTGATTCTGATTGGTGTGTATATTCCATTAATGTTATTTCAGGTAGGTTTTGAGTCTTAATCAGTTCCACTTGATTCCACTTATGTGTTTGTATTTGGAAACATCCCCGTGTCTGGAAAGCCTGTTTTGCAAAGCTGTTAATATGGATTGAGTGATAAGTCAGCCCAAATTGCCCTGTGCTTTGCCAAAAAGAAACTTTTTTTTTTTTTTGCATTTGCTCATTTTTAAAGGATTCCTTGAGAGGACCTGGTTTGTTTAAGGGATGTTAAATTTTAACACACGTGCGCGCACATACACACATGCATAGGGGTATGAAATATGGTGGAGGCCTTGAACAATAGGATGTTGACAATAAAAACGTATTTCTGGACTCTTAAGTGAAAGGCAGGCTGTGATAGCTGCTTTTCCAAATCAATTTTATGAAAACATTAGGGATCTCTTGCCCAACTTATTGGTCCATAAGTGTGCATATATGCTAAAATCATAAAAAATGTCTGAGGTTTAAGTCGTTGTTTTCATGAGTTGATATAAATTTCCTCAAAAGATGTTCATTATTTCTTGTTATTTAGTGTTCCAGTGTTGTAAATACTTTGGAATGTTTATGTTGGCAAGTGAAAATTATTGATTATGGCTTACTATTCCAAAGAAGAACTGGATGAAGAGTTTGAACAGTTCATGAAAGAGGTAAGTATATATTTTTAAAAGGTGTATTGTAAATTTGGTAAAAAAACAAACAAAAAAAAAAAAACAACAACAACAACAAAAACTGATTCTTCAGTTTTCTCTTTCACCTCTTAAGATCCAGTCCATCATCAAGCTTTGTGGACTCTGTCTCCAGATTATACCTGTCATCCTTCTAGTCCCTTCCTTTTCGCTGCCACTATCCTAGTTCAGGTCATCAACAGCTCAGCTGGGCTGCTACAGCAGTTCCCAAGTACTGTCCCAGCATTCCTTCACCAGTCTGAAGCCTGCGTGATGTGTTATATAAAGCAGAGTCTGTTGGCCATCTATCATTTATATAAAAATATATAAACTGAAGGATTGAAGGACCGGTCACTATGACGTGCACTGACTTCCAAGGGGCAGACACTCAATGAAAAAGCTGCACCCCGATGGTCCCTGTGCTCCCACAGCCAACCTCCCACAGTGCCTGCCCCTGGCCAGCCGGCCAGGCCAAAGAACCTCACCTGTGCATGAATTCGTGCGCCAGGCCTCTAGTCTATACTAATAAAAGGATAATATGATAATTAGACCAGACATCTTCCAGGCGTTCTTCTGGATGTCCTTCCAGACAAAGCCATGGTGGTGCGTTAGGGGTCATTAAGCAGGTAGGCAGAGTGGCTAGGGGCGATCAGGCAGGCAGGCAGGTGAGTGTTTAGGAGCCAGCGGTCCCAGATTGTGAGAAGAATGTGTGACTGCCGGACATTCCCCAAGGGTCCCCAGATTGGAGAAGGTGCAAGCCAAGCTCAGGGACACTCCTCCTTCCCTGCCACCCCTCGTCTCCGACTCAGTGCATGAGTTTCATGCACTTGGCCTTTAGTAGATAATAAAAGTCCAAACTCATTTCCAGGGTTTACAAAGCCCTGGATGATTTTGCTCATGTCTATCTCACTGACTTTATATCACTTTTATTATCCACTTATGTTACAGTGGCCTTTTCCCCTCTAGACATGTCAAGCTCAATTCATAGTAGGAGCTTTGCACTGGCTGTTCCCTCTGCTAATAATGTTCCCCTGTTCTTCACCGGGCTGGCAAAAATCTCATCTTCAATATCAGAAAAAAATGTTTGTTTGTTTTTTCTGTTCAGTAAAAAAGAAACCACCAAGTTACTTAGTATACCATGTATTTATACTATACAAAAGTATAATAATACTATACAACTATTATTTTACTAGTATAGGTCTATTTTCTGTATCCCATCATAAGAACATTTAATCTGACAAGTAGCATATATCAATGTCTCATTCTTCTTTATAGCTTAATATTTTACTGTATGGATTTACCACGTGTTTACCCACTTATTAGTGTAAAGACATTTGAGTTCTTTCCATTTTTTGGCGATTATGAGTAATTATGGTTTGAACAGTCATGCACATGTTTTTGAGTAGATGTACATTTTCATTTCTCTTGTGGATCTACCTAGTAGTAGAAATGCTAGGTCATGTGGTAACTCTGTTTAACTTTTGGGGAACTGCCAGGCTGTTTTCTAAGTGGCTGTGCCATTTTCTATTCCCAGCAGCAGTGTATTAGTGTATTAGGGTTCCAATTTCTTCATATCCTTGCAGCACTGTTAATTACTTGGGGACCAGTTTTTTTCTTTCTTTTTCTTTTTTGTTGTTGTTGTCATCATTTTTGTTAGTCCTCACGTGAGGATATTTTTCACATTGATTTTTGGAGAAAGTGGAAGGGAGGGGGAGAGACATAGAGAAACACATGTGAGAGGGGGACACATCAATTGGTTGCCTTCCACACCCCAATGGGGGCTGAGGATCGAGCCTACAACCAGGGTACATGCCCTTGATCAGAATCGAACCTGGGATTCTTCAGTCCATGGGCCGACACTTAACCACCGAGCCAAATCAACTAGAGCTTTTGTTTTGTTTTTGTTTTAAATACTTTTTATTGATTTTTGACAGAGAGAGAGAGATCGTTGGGGATCAAGCCTGCAACCCAGGCATGTGCCCTGACTTTTTGGTGCATGGGATAAGACTCCAACCAACTGAGCCATATCAGCCAGGGCTGTTTTGTTTTTTATTATTGTAATCTGGGAAGCAGTGCAATATTGTCAAAAGTGGGAATACCTATTATATATTAGAATTAGACAATAGGGTGGGAATTCTGCATTTCTATTTTTTTTCTTTCTGATTTTTGCCACAACTATACAAGGTCAGTGCTACCGTGTTTCCCCGAAAATAAGACATCCTTTGAAAATAAGACCTATCACATGGAAAGATAAGACATCCCCTGAAAATAAGATCTAGCGCATCTTTGGGAACAAAAATTAATATGACATCGTCTTATTTTCGGGGAAACGGGTATTATAGCTATTTTTAACAGGTGAATAAAGTAAAGAGAGATGTAATGTTCCTTAAGCCTGTGGTTGGCAATCTGCAGCTCGTGAGCCACCTGCAGCTCTTTGGTCCCTTGAGTGTGGCTCTTCCACAAAATACCACGGCCTGGGCAAGTTTATTTTGAAGAAGTGGCGTTAGAAGAAGTTTAAGTTAAAAAAATTTGGCTCTCAAGAGAAATTTCAATCGTCGTACTGTTGTTATTTGGTTCTGTTGACTAATGAGTTTGCCGACCACTCCCCTAAGCAATAGAGCTAGCATATTTTGAAGTTTCAACTCAGATCTGTCAGGCTCCAAAGCCTTCCACACACTATGAGGCCATGGAGATTAGAAGAAACAGACTGAGTCTGAAACAGATTCTCAGAATTTGATAAACAGTGAGATGTAGGAAGGAGCGAGAAATGAGATATTTTGAGGTGATAGTGAAGTTTAGAGACTGAGTGGGAGGTGGTGCAACTAAAATTCAGGTGGGATAAATAATATATTTTCTTCCCTCCTCTCTTCCTGCCTGGTTGTCAGGGAAGACAATTAGTTATTTTTGAGCATTTAAAAATTGACTCTTACAAATCATTGAGCTTGGTTGGCATGTGTCTTGGCAGGTGGAAATGTGTCTTGTCATCTTGGAAATTTAAAAGGTCATTCTGGTAGCAATGTCCTAGTTGGGAGATGAAACAGTGTAGTAGAAAGTGGAACAGTTTTAGTCATAGAGATCTCAGTTTGAAACCCAGATCTGTAACACCAGCAGTAGCAGCTTGGGCAAGTTGTTTAACCTCTTTAAGCTGTTTTCCTGCCTGTGAATCTCTCCTAGATTACTTCAGGATTGAGATAATTTGGGAATAGATCCTGACATAGAACAGATATAGGATCAATGTTGGTTCCATCCTTGGGAAGAGTGTGTAGTATGAGAATAAAAAGAACCAAGAGCAGGGTCCTGGGGAAGTTTAGAATTAAAGAAACGGACATTGCCAAGAGCTATTAAAGTAGGTGGATGAGGAAGGTTACTGAGCTTTTCCCACTAAGCCACCAAGTTTTCTACAGAACTTGGAGGATGTGTATGCTGTGAAGTTAAAGGTAGAGAGTTTCAAGACATTTCAGAGTTGGTCACCCATAGATATCAAGTTCCTTGTCGTGATCAGGGAAGGTGGCTGCCAGTAGTCCTTTATTGATGGTATTTAGGAGGTCTTTGGTACCTCGAGGAGAGCTGTTTTGGATGAGAACCAGGTTTAAAGGATTGTTTGATTTGGTTTGGTTTAGCTTTTTTTTTTTTTTTTTTTTTTAAATAGAGGAGACCAGAGTGTTCATTCTTCCAGTCCACTATTGTACCTGGGGATGTGAAGAGCAGGTTTATAATCTGAAGGTAGGGTGGAGAGGAGGGATTAAGAATCAGATAAAATGGGATAACCAAGGAAGAAAGAACTTGGAGAGGTCCAAAGTGACCCCTCTGCAGGTTCTCCATAAAGTGGAAGAAAGTTTCAGAGAGAAAAGCAGTGCTTTAACAGGTGAGCTTAGTGATGGAGTGAGGGGGAAAGAAGGTTTTGATTGAAGGTCTTTTATAGTCTCAGTGAGGAGAGAGGCCAAGTTATTGGCTAAGAGTAAGGGGGCTAGGTTGGGGTTAGAGTAGGGAGTTTAGGATTGTAGTAAAATTTGGATCTGAAGAGTTGAAAAGGACAAATAAATATTTATTAAATCCTATCAATTACTGTGACAAAATGCTAATTTCTCTGGAAAACACCTAAAACTCAGCTCTCCTTGTCTTAGAATTCTGTGTTCTAGGTAATTTTGCTCATTGTGCTCAATCATTATTTATTCTTAGACCCTCAAAAATGTCTAAAAGAGGATTGTATTTTTCCTTTTTTCCTTTCCTGATTTCCTTGATCAAATTTTCTTTATTTCTTGGTTGTTATTGTTCTCCCTAGTTAGTTTACTTGTTTAATTCTGTGTATAAAATTGGTGTTCAGAGATTTATGCTTGATTTTTGGTCATATATGTTTAGAAATATGAATTCATACATTAATGCTTATGTATATAATAGTTTAACTATGTGAGAAGGAAGAAACATTTTAGTGATGAATCTGGAATTCTCAAATTTAAAATTTAGTAGCTTATATCTGATTCAGCTTTCAGATGACTCTTTTGAAAATTCAAACAAAACAGCTAGACAACCTAAAAGAGAAGTGAAAAAGAAAGATGCACTGCCATGGTGGATAACAGAAGATGATTTTGAAGATGGTGGTAAATATTACTGATTTTTCATCTCACATTATTTGACCACAAGGGGTCAGTCAAGACTTTTAATTCTGGATTTTGTTACTGTACTATAAATATATAAAGAAAATAATTTGAATTTACTTTCTTCACTTTATTATATATAATATTAAATATTTGAGAGTCTGTGTTTCTACATTATTAGATTATTTTACATTGAGATCATGTATATTTACTCAAATTAAGATGATGAATAATATTAGTATGTTTATATATAACTATACTTAATGCTAAATTGATTTAAGGTGATTTAATAAAATATCCTGACAACATATTAATGTCATTGCAGGAGCAGAATTTAACAAGTTTATAGATTTTGGTATCACAGTTTCTTATAACAGTAGTAAAATAAATAATTTATCACCGAACTATTCCTCATTGCATTGTTACAAATAGAAAATTACTCTCTGGAGCAGCAGTTGACAACCTCACCGACCACCAGTGGTCCACGGACTGCCCGTGGTGACTCCTGCTCTGTAGTGTTTTCTTCGGTGTGCTACTATTTATGGTGATCGCCGTATCTCTAAGGAACTGAGATGACCATGGAATACCCATGTCCACACTGCTGTGGGTCATTACGCTCCATTTTATAAACTGATAAGATTTGGTATCTCTTCTCTAGGGGGCAAATTTACCCATGGCTTTTGTCTCCCCCCCCCCCCCAAATAGCCTGAATGCCCTCATGTGCCAGTTAAGGCTCTGCGTAATCTGACTGGAACCCTCCTTTCTAGCCTCATGTGCTCCGGCCATACTCGGTTATTCCTTCTCCCCTGGAAGCATCACAGGCTCCATGCCTGTGTGTGTCAGCTCATGCTTTCTTGCTGCTAGAATGCCTTCCCTCTCATCCTTCTTGTCCAGTAAAGTTAGGTATTACCTCTTTTGCAATCCTTCCCTAACTCTTCTAACTCCCTTATCAACACAATTATTTTCTCCTTTGTTTCAGTGTCAAAACACCGTAATAGCATTTATGCATTATGATAATACTTGTAACCTACTGCTGAAGTTAGCAGCTTTGTGAGGGCAGGAAACACTTCCTTGTATCTCCTGACCCTCATTAATAAATAATGAATGAGTTTAACAAATGAATGTAAGAGTGAATTTGGTAGTCATTTGTCTGTTCTTAATAATGTAAATAAGGAATTGATTAATTGAAAAAGTCAGTGCATTTTTTTTTATAAGTCCCCAAACTATACAACAGTGTAAGTTTGCATGTGAAGAATTCATTTTTAGAATCTTCCCTCTGTTGTAAAGGATATAATATGATGAAGTGCTATTGGAATTGTTGACAAAGATTTAACAGTTAATTAGCATTAAAGTATCTTTTCTAGAAAATAATCAGAGATGGAATGATGTGTAAATTCAAAGGGAAAGAATAGGTCCTAGACTAACACTGGAAGGTAGTCTGACTAAAGGTATTAATTTTTAAAAGGATTTATCAATCTGTAGTGTATTTGACCAGTAAAGGATGCAAGGAAGGATACTTAAGAAATAAGCTTTGCCCAGCTGGTGTGGCTCAGTGATTAAGGGTTGATCTGTGAACCAGGAGGTCAAGGTTCAATTCTGGTCAGAGCACATGCCCAGGTTTTAGGCTCGATCCCCAGTAGGGGGCATGCAGGAGACAGCCAATAAATGTTTCTTGTCATTGATGTTTCTAACCCTCTCCCTCTTCCTTCCTCTTTTTGAAATAAAATCATATTTAATAAATAAATACATAAATAGAAACAAACTTTGACATTGTCCTTTTACACACAAGGGAGAGAGTTTCTCCACCCAAGGGCATAATCTGATCCCTTGTTCAGTCACAAACTGTTGCAGAGTTTGTTATGTTCTGAGTGCTAGTGACTCTTAGTACTAGATGGTTCCTCTCATCCAGGTGGAGAAGCTTCTGAGGGAGGTGTCAGTACCTTCTTGAGGAGAAGAACCCGTTACCCACCCTAGAGAGATGCCATTAACATCAACATTGAAACTCCAGCCTTATAATTTTGCTTTCTTTTTCAATAAAGACAGAATGTTACAATAAGGACAGAATAAATGTTCTGCCTAGAGCACTGGTTCTCAACCTTTCTAATGCCGTGACCCTTTAACAGTTCCTCATGTTATGGTGACCCCCAACCATAAAATTATTTTCATTGCTATTTCATAACTGTGATTTTGCTCATTATGAATCGTAATCGTAATGTGAATATCTGTGTTTTCCAATGGTTTTAGGCGACCCACAGGTTGAGAACCCCTGCTGTAGAGCCTAAGACCATCTGAAAACACAGATATTTACATTACGATTCATAACAGTAGCAAAATTACAGTTATGAAGTAGCAACGAAAAGAATTTTATGGTTGGGGGTCACCCCAACATGAGGAACTGTATTAAAGGGTTGCTACATTTGGAAGGTTGAGAACCACCGGCCTGGAGGGTAAAACCATCTAATCCTCCTGGGTGTCCTCTTCATGACAAATAAACCAGTTGAGCCTTGGTTTCGGTTATAGTAGTCTCTTGTGAGCTCCATTAGCATGGGTCACATCCCTGCGTCCAGCATTGGAACCAGGATGAGACCCAGACAGATAGCACCGCAGCACCCCAACCCTCGCATGCACTTTCTCTTTTAACGTGTCTCTTGTCTCTTGATATTCTGCAGCCATGGAAGTTATTTGAGCTATAAAACCATTATGCACACCTAAAGACATAAAATAGATTCTGAACCCTTTTCAAGAGGACACTAATTAGGAAATTACATTCAAAATTTGTGACTTCTTAAGGTTTCCTGCTAACCAACAGTTATATTTTTCTAATCTTAATAGTATTTCTATCATGTAATGTAATCTTTTACTTTCTCTGTATATCAGTTGTTTACAATAAATATGTACTATTAGGATAAAGAAAATTTGATATTACATAATTTTATCATTGTTTTCTTTTGCTTTTGGAATAAAGAGAAAATCTTACTCCTAGCCTGTGAAGATGAGAATAGTCTAGCCGTCAGCTCCTGCTCTGTGCTTATTTCTACCCTGACTTACCCTCACTCTCTACACCCACCTTCACTGGCTCTTTGCATCCTCAGATATGGCTGTTTCCTCACATTGTTGACCCTTTGTTCCTCTTCCCTCTGCCTGGAATTGTCTCCCTTTCCCATTTCAGCTGGTTATTTACTACTCTTCCTTCACATAGGCCAGGCACTGTTCTTTAAAATAGCATGGTACACTTGTATAAAAGTGCTGTGCTCTTTTCGCCCTCATAATGCAAAATTTTAAAATATTCTTAAGACACACTGCAAACAAATATAATTTTTCTTTTGTGAATTTTAGGTTTGATGGATTTTTACTTAATACATTAGATTTTATAGCTACTGTCCATAAAATTAGTGTAATAGTATGGTGTTGGCATAGTTGTCAAAACAATGTCCTGAATATAAATATCCAGTTATATTTATTCCCATCCCTAGGACAGCTGGGAACAAATGTAAGCTATTTGAAAACAAAGACGACTTCTCAGCCTATTATGGAAATAGAAGAGGAGTCTGCTGAGAGGATTCAGTTTCTCAAGAGCAGTGGAACCTCCATCCTAAGTATTGACAGCTTAGAAACAAATGGTAAGAAATGTGAGACATACGAGTTGACAGGTTAGTTACTATGCTTATAATCAGAATTTTTACAAAAATTACAATCTTGAAGCACTTAGATTTAATATCTTCCTAAAAGGTTTACAAGTATACTTCTAGAGAAGCCTTATAATCTTGCTTATTGATTATGAATATACATCTACCGTATATTGGGTGAAAGATTAAGTAAAATATGTTTTATATGTTTTAAAATTTTATTATATAATGGCAATAAATGCATCACTAAAGTTAATTTTTATCAAAAATTTTTATGTTAATAAAATGTATTTGTGCCTTCATTTAGAGAGAGTAGTTTCTGAGATCAATCAAAGTGTACTCGGATTGGGATTGGACACATTTGAAGAAAAAGAAGAAAAAGAGCAATTTTTTGCCAGACTTGAGAAAGGGTTTACATCTTCCATTGATTACTCAAGATTAAATAAGGAATTGGATTCTAATGATTCCACACATTTTAAAGCTTTACATAGGTAATGTAAATATGTTATAAACTAAACATTCAGTGATTTTTTTGTGTTTTTCTATATTTTTGAAAGACTGGTATATACATGGATTAAAATGGGTAAATATTATAACAGGCAAAAGTAGAATCTTATTTTTAACTCTATTTTCTGTTTATTATGTTGGTCAGAGTTTTTCTTTTATGTGAACAGAATACATTGATTTGTATTTGAGAGCCCATTCTGCCTCCAGATATCTGAATGTCATGCCTGAGACACTACTGAGACTAATAGCACATTGCCAGAAAGACCTAACTAGGAAAGTAACTTGTCAAGTGATTTTCCACAGGTAAGGTAAATATCTGAGTGTAGGAGCTGTTGTATACTCAGAGGGGAAAGGAACAGAAAGGGCTTGGAGAGCCAGGGAGCAAAGACACAAACCAGGGTTTGTGTCCTGCCTTTGTGTATATTTCACCCTAATGCGGATCTGAAAACCTCTTTATTCTGGAAATCCTACTAATTGACTGAGCTGGTCCTCTGTAAGTATGGTAGACTTTTGACATTTTCAAGATCTTTGTGAAACCTGATTATCTTTCATTTCCTCAGTTTTATATATCATTTAATATTTTAATAAGTCAAAGTCAGATTATAATTCTAAGATTTTGAATAACACCAAACTATAATTATCTTAAGAGTCAGGAGAATACTAATTTCTGGTTATTAGAGTACCTGCTTTCCTCACAAGGCTTAGGTTCTTACAGATGGTGGACAAAGCAGTGACTACCATGGGCTGTGTAGGCCCTGAGATTGTTACCCTACTTGGACGTTAACAAGTTAGCCTACCGGTCTTGTGAATGCTTACAAACACAAGATTCCTGGGTCAGAAGCAAAGGGCTTTATTTCTCACAACAAAAGCAGTTCAGTACCTGAGTGCCAAATTCATTTGCCTCAGTTCCCTATGCCCCCCAGGGCTCACAGGGCAACACTAAGGGTCCGTGATGGCTGTCTGCACACGTGGTGGTTGCTTTACAGGAGAGGACCTGTCACTGGACATAGAGAATCTACTGCTTGATGATAAAGTGGAAACAAGCCTTCTCTTTGGGCAGAAACATTGCTTCATCTCTCAATGTTGCTCATGGCAAACATGACACTGAGAAATGACCTAGGAAGTGGGGGATCCGTGCCTTGCATTCTTGGCATACCCATCAGGAACATGCAGATCCATGGTGATTACTTTTTGCAAGTGACGACATAGATTAAGCCTGTTCAGGTTTATTAGTCACAAGATTTTTGCCCATTTGCAATATTTAACTTTTTTCTGACTTCCTAACAAAATTCTTAACTACTGATATTTTTGCTCTAAAACAGATTAGTCAGGGTGCAGCATAGTATTGAAATGCAAAATTATTTTCTGCTATTACTAACATCTATAATAATAAAAGTGTAATACACTAATTAGACTGGACATCCTTCCTGACAAAGCCACAGTGGGCGGGGGCCACTGCGGCAGAGGCCCTTGCATAATTTTGTGCATTGCGCCTCTAGTAGTTTTATAATTTTTTGGACCTTTTAATCTCACTGGAGGCAGGATTGATGGACTGAAAAAGGTGAAACTGATTCCTGGGTTTGAAAGAAAGCATATCTGAACTAATAGATCCAGTGCAATTAAGACTTGCTCCAGCTTCTCTGTTGCCTTGCTGAGTTTTTCTCACAAGCATATCAAACTCGCTACCGATGGGTTTTAAATGAGGCACGCAGCCCACTAGCCGTGACCTTTAGGCACGAGTTTGGTAAGATTCCTATTTAGCTCCTATTTCAGGATTAAGTTGCTTGTTAGCATGTAAATGACTATGGTATTTTTTTCCTAGCCTCCTTGTAGACTTCACTGGTTCTCATAACTTGTGGTCAAGTCCTAATTTTAAGTGTAAAAAGGATATCTGGATCCTGAGACATGTAAATGCTCAAATTTATGTATAGAGTTAAAAAATACAACATATTTTCCTTTGTATTATTTTGTCAGCTACAATTAAGCTTTAAAGAAATGTTATTTTCAAAATGTTTTGCTTATAGCTCCCATGTTTTTTGCATTTCATAGAACATGAGAAGAAATACATAATGTTTGATATTTTAAAAAATATATACGAAGGATTGCATGGCAATGTATTATTAACATATGATACTAAATTAAATGGATATTTTTTCTAGTAATCAAGCTAATATAGACAGATAATGTATTATTAACATGTGATACTAAATTAAATGGATATTTTTTCTAGTAATCAAGCTAATATAGAAGATAAACATGAGAATGAATCAAAGCATGAAGAACTGGCAGGTAATTTCATTGGTTTTAAAATTTACAGTATTTGAAAAGATAATATAACTTTTAATAAAGATATTGGTAAGAAAAAATAATTAAAGGGAAATCATATTGTCTTGGAAAGAGCTTTGAACAGGTAGTGCCAATTGCTTGTGTTGTAACCTGAGCCACCAGGAAGTTGTTAACAGTGCACGCTGCCTTACTTGTTGGGAGTGGGCTGTGGGCCAGCTGGGAAGACAGAAAGGAGTTTTGTGCTAGGAGCAGGGAAATCTGTAGAGCCAAGACAAATACCTTTAAAGCTTAATTGTGGCAGTACATCTTTTTTTCATCTTTTGACTTTTAAATGTATCTGTGTTTTAAAGTGATTTTCTTATAGATAGCATAAAGCTGGGTTTTGCTTTTCTATCTGATCTGACAATCTCTGACTTTTAATTCAGGTGTTTTTACACTTTATAAAAATATATTTACTGGATTGATTACTTACTGTATTGCTATTTATTTTTGTATCTTTCCATCTTTTTGTTTATTTGTTTTATTTGTCTTGCATTTTGTTGGGATTGATTATTTATAGTATTCCGTTATTCCTTCTTTTGGCTGGTTATACCACCTTTTTGCTGTAATTTTTCTCTTCATTGTCTGAATATGAATTAGGACACATTGTTCACAATATGCATCTTTATCTTATTGGTGTCTACTTTCAAATAATATTTTACAACTGCTGACAGTTCTATAGCTGAAGGTAATAGAATTAAGTAGTGATTCCAAGACTTCTGGCTCTGGTTGCACTCTTAAGTGTTATATTGTTTGCACTGTTTCTTATACTACCTGTTTGTGGTCCCAGAAACAATACATTCCCTTCCATTGATTGGAAGTAGTTCTCAAATCCCAAGTAGTTGTCTAAGTTCATTGTCATAATCTCCCATGTCTCCCCCTTCCATGTACATCTTTTTTTAAGCAAATTTAATCTTTTAGGTTACCTAAAACTTAGTGCTTCCTGCCTAAAATATTAGAATCTTCATCATTTTAATATTGGTCCTAGAACTTAGAACAATGTCTAATACAAAGTAATTTCTCAATAACTGTGAATTCAATTGTTTCTACTGATATTTAAAAATCTCAGTGTTCTTTCTCAAATGGAGGAGAAACAAAGGTGAGCTTCTCAACTTCCAAATGCAGATGTTAACCAAGTAACCTAGCTTATCTGCATAGGTTACAGTACCTAGGTTGCTGTTCCAATCTCATCTTCCTTATGAACTAAAGTGAAAATGTTTTTGTAGGCAGGTGTCAGTGGAAGCATCTCTTGTTTAATTTCCAATCCCTCTCAAGTGTATTCCCACACTTCCATTCATAACTACATTTAAGTTGTCTCCTCCTTTCTAAAAGAAGAGTGAAGGACAGTCTTTCCAGAAGCAGACTCTAGTAACTCATCAGTCTTTCTCCAACCAGGCCATCCTGTTTCTGAATGTGATCTCTCTTTTGAACTTCAAGTAAGATTGCATTTCCTTCTAGAATAGTTGATTCCAACCTGAAAAGGTTATTACACTTTACTAGCCTGTAGGTCTGAGCTATAAACATGTTATAAATTGTTGAGTGCCGAAGCTGGTTTGGCTCAGTGGTAGAGCGTCGGTCTGCAGACTGAAAGGTCCCAGGTTCGATTCCGGTGAAGGGCATGTACATTGGTTGCGGGCACATCCCCAGTAGTGGGTGTGCAAGAGGCAGCTGTCGATGTTTCTCTTTCATCGATGTTTCTAGCTCTCTATCTCTCCCTTCCTCTCTGTAAAAAATCAATAAAATATATTTTAAAATAAATAAATAAATAAATTGTTGAGTAAATCCTGGCCAAATTATCCCTGCCCTATCTTCTCAATAAATAGTCTGATGGCATCATGTTAACATGGACATACCCTTTCTATCTGCTGCAAAGTCATTGAGATATAATTTGTGCCTTTAGCTGAGAAGTACCCAGTCTTGGGAAACAATGAAGGTCATATAGGCCAATATTTCCTAAGGGAAGTATCAGAGATAGACCTCTCACAAGTTGCATATAAGGCTTATAGTAGAGATACCTCAGATACCAAAAAAATCAACTTAAAAAATGAGTAGCCCTAGCCTGTGGGGCTCAGTTGATTGTACATAGTCCCATGCACCAAAAGGTCACCAATTCAATTCCTAAGCAAGGCACATGCCTGGGTTGTGGGTTTGATCCCTGGTAGGGGGCAATAGTTGCCAGCCGATTGATGTTTCTCACATCAATGTTTCTTTCTCTGCCTTTCCCTTCTCTCTCTCTCGAAAATCAATTTAAAAAACCTAAAAAAAATACACGAAATCTGTCCGTTTATGAATCAACATTTTACAAAAGTGCTGGCTTTTATAAATAAGCAATTTAAGATTTTTGTCTTTAAAAAACAAATAAGAAAATTTGTTTTAAAGATGTCATAAAATCTTTTGGGTAGCTCTAGACATTTTTAGTTCATTAATACTATAAAAGATTAAAAATAAAATTACTTGAAAGTACAAAAAATGGGATAAATTAAGATAGTCCTATGAATTGAATTATTAAGTCTGCAAAAAATCTGTTAATTTATGTCAATATTTCAATAAATTTATCTGGAATTCTTCCTTTTGAAATCAGTCATTTCCTAGAAATTGATATTTTTATGTGATCCTTATATTTTTTAAAAATTTTCTTCAGAAAATTATAGTGATGATTTTGAAGATGAGGAGATTGATGGGCCTTTGACTACTAAAGATGAAGAGACTAATTCCAGAGAAAATTCCAAATCAGAAAAAATAAATGCCCCCAAACAGGTACACATTAATTATGTATTTGATAATTTTGAAACTTTATCTGTTATTTAGGCAATAACTTTAGCTGTTATTATTTGGAGAGTTTGAAATATAGAGTTATTTATAGTCTTTTGTTTGTTGTTTGTTTTTTGTTACATTATTCTAACATTTAAATCCTATCTAATAAAATAGTAATATGCAAATTGACTATACCTCTGCCATACCCACAAGCCACATCCACCAACCAATCAGGAGTGAATATGCAAATTAACCCAACCAAGATGGCTGCAGCCACGGATAGAGCAGGAGGCTTGCGTTGCCCCCAGCAGTGGAGGAAGCCAAGCTTTTCACCTGCCCTGGTGGTCCCAGGCCTCCACTCAGAGCTACATAGTTTCAATTATAGAAGATAAATAAATCTCAACAACAATGGTGGCAGCCATGGAGCTGGAGAGAACAGGAGGCTTGAGTTCCCCCCAAGTAATGGAGGAAGCCAAGCTTTCCACCTGCCTTGGTGGGCCTAGGCCTCTGCTCAAGGCTACAAAGTTTCTATTATAGAAGATAGATAAATCCCAAATACCAGGGCCTCCACTTGGGTCACCAGGGGACGTGGCTGGCCTTCAAACCACCACAGACCCCTCATCCAGGCCACCCCATCCCCCAAGGGAACCCCCACCCTGATCCGGGACACCATTCAGGGCAAACCAGCTGGCCCTCACCTGTGCATCAGGCTTCTATCATATCTAATCCTATCTAATAAAAGATGATATGCAAATTGACCATCACTCCAACACACAAGATGGCTGCCCCCATGTGGACACAAGATGGCCACCACAAGATGGCCAGCAGGGGAGGGTTGTTGGGAGGGACCAGGTCTGTAAGGGAGGGCAGTTGTGGGTGATCAGGTCAGTAGGGGAGGACAATTGGGAAGGACCGGGCGTACAGGGGAGGGCAGTTTGGGGTGACCAGGCCTGCAGGGGAGGGAAGTTTGGGGCAAACATTCTGGCAGGGGAGTGGTTAGGGGGTGATCAGGCTGGCAGGCAGAAGCAGTTAGGGGCAATCAGGAAGGCAGGCAGGCGAGCATTTGGGAGCTAGCAGTCCTGGATTGTGATCCAGCAGTCCAGTAGGATAGGGCCTAAATGGACAGTTGGACATCCCTCGAGGGATCCCAGATTGGAGAGGGTGCAGGCTGGGCTGAGAGACATTCACCCTTGTGCACGAATTTTGTGCACCTGGCCTCTAGTCTTTAATAAAATTCCATCAAAGATTATGTCATATTATATGCCGTGATTAGGTTTCTACAAACAACTTTGTTTTCTGTGTACAAGTCAGTGTCGATGAAATAAAAAATAAAACTATACTAGGCAGAGAACTTTATTAACCTTTTTAAAACTTTATTTCCAAGCTTTTTCAGCTTAATTAGTTGCAAAGAATGATTTATGTATAAGCAAAAACTGAAAAGAGCTGCTATGTTCAGGGGCCTTGGGCTAAAAAATATTAGAGATCTAGTTTAATCAGATCCATAAACAAATTTGAAAAAGCAGTCATAATATAAAATAGCAGCTCCCAGAAACTTCTTCAGGCTTATCTTCTTCAGAAGTTGACTCAGTTCAGTTTGCTTCATTTTTGGAAGCCTCATCAAAATTCTCCACAAGATCTGAAACTTCATCATCATCACTCCCTCCAGTAGTAATGGTGATTTTCCATCCACAGATTATTTGGGCAGAGCTTCAGCCAGTCTTCTTAAACTAGTCAGACTCCCGTACCAAGCTGGTGTAAGATGCGGGGTAGCATTTCTGTCAGCTGCTCTGTCTCAGCATGGCCTGTAATGGTGACAGTGTTCGCTGCCAGAGATGCCTGAATTTTAGGGTTGTTAAAGTGGATCACTGTTTCTTAGTTTGAAAACATATTTACCTCTTCAATACCAGAGAGATTCTTTACCCCAACTTCTTTAAGAAGAACTGAAGTTTTTTTTATCATCTGCTGTAGCTGTTCTGTGAACCTCCATCTTCTTTTTATGAGCAGTTCTTTCTTACCAATGTGCACTTGTGCCTGCAGTTTAGCAAGTTACTCTTGATTCTTGATAGTTTCTTTTATCTTGTTGGAGAGGAAACAGGGCTGAGTGGGGGACGAGGGCTGATGCTCAGGGGGTCTAGGACAGACCAGCTGAGAATAAGTGCACACACACGGGGACGGAAGATCAATTCTTTATAGTCTTGTTTATTATAGGTCTCTTAACATACAGACATTTCCTTAACGCAGGATGTCAGTGTGGTATAAATCTTAATGAAATATCATGGCAGTTGGTGATATTCTTAAGGATATCTTTTGGCAAGTAATTTCCTTAAGCCCTAGAAGTTGAAAAATTAATTAAAATCTCAAATCTAATTTTAAGCAGACATAATAAATTATACTTTTCTTTGTTAGGTCTTGTCCTTGTGAATACAATAAATACCCCTCCTTAGTATTTATGCTAGTAGTGACATTAGTGTCTGCGATCATAAATTAAATTACTCTTCACATTCACATTGCTATACTCTCTCATTTTTCAATTCTTTTTTTTTTAAATATATTTTATTTATTTTTTACAGAGAGGAAGGGAGAGAGATAGCTAGAAATGTCGATGAGAGAGAAACATCGACCAGTTGCCTCTTGCACACCCCCCACCGGGGATGTGCCCGCAGCCAATGTACATGCCCTTGACCGGAATTGAACCTGGGTCCCTTCAGTCCACAGACTGACGCTCTACCACTGAGCCAAACCGGTTTCGGCCATTTTTCAATTCTTACCAAGACTGGGTAAGGGTACTACAGCATATTGCCTGTCTGATATAACTTACCCTTGAACTATCTACTAGTAACTGGTAGGACAATTATTATGTTGATCTTGATCTAGACACAGTCTCTTTTGGGACTACATGTTAGGGCTAGATGTTTTTAACATGTGTGAAACCATAAACTATCTAAAAAGTAAGGAACCCTTTTGAGTATTAATAAATATTCTTTTCTTAAGAAAATTATCTTATTCTAACCTAGTAATTTGCCTTTGGGTATCTGTATCATGTAGCTTGGGTAGAAAAACCCAGGTGACCATAGACATACCCCCAAATTAAAGAGTTTTGATAAGTATCCTTAGTTTGATGGGATTTATACTTGGAATATGACAATTACAATATTTTATGAAAAATAAATAGATCAGTAGAAGGCACAGTGGTGTGCTATATTAAGGAAGGGTAGCCTGCCTTAAAAATGTATTAACCTAAATGTGGAAACCAAGGAGAGAATTGTTTGGGAAATGATCAAAATAGGAAGGTAATAAAGCTCTGTTATAACAAGACTAGAGGCCCGGTGCACGAATTTTTGCACAAGTGGGGTCTGGCTGACCTGCCCCGATGGGGGGCTAATCAGGGTGGGCCAGCTGGAGGAGGAGGGCATGGGCAGTTGGCTGACTGGCCCTACCCCATTGGGGTGGGGGGACTGATCGGGAGCAGGGCTAAGTGGGGGAGGGACTGTGGGAGGTTAGGAGAACCAATCAGGGCCCCAGTGGGGCCAGTTGGCCACCTCAGTGCCCATCATAGTGACTGGTTGTTCTGGTCGTTTTGTTGTTCTGGTTGCATGGCTCTTACCTATAATAATAAAAGCGTAATATGCTAATTAGACTGGACATCCTTCAAACAACCTTTCAAGTGAAGCCAGGGCTGCAAGGGAAGCCTGGGTCCCAGGTGCCTGCCAGCAGCCAGAGGGAAGACTAGCTCTCGGGGTCCAGAGGGAAGCCAGTGCTGGCAGCCCGGGTGACGGGAGGCCTACTCTTGAACAAATTTTGTGCATCGGGTCTGTAGTATATATAGGTAATCCTACATACTGCCTATCCAAGGAGAGAATATAGGTGACACTAATTAGAAAAGTTATTCTAAGGGAACCTATAATGTTGATGAATTGCAATTATGTTATCATTTGGTGGCCTACCTTTTTGAAAACTTTCTCTCAAAATGTAGATGAAATCATAAGTATAAGTTATATTTAGTCATTAATTCTTAACAATAAAGGGGAAATGCTGATGTTACAATAGAAGGAATCTTATATGAGGTATTCACGTTATCCTGCAATTAAATAAAAAAATTTCTGAGCAAAGTAGATGAGCAGAGAGCATCGAGATACTTTAAACAAGGCTTTTATAAAGGCCCAAATTAATTACTGGTAATTGCTAAGATTCTGAAGAAACTTCTATAAGTTCTCTCATAACTACACTCTCTAGTACTGTCGAATTATCATTTGATTGAGGGTGATACATCTAGAAAGAACATATCCTGATCTTTTCATAACGGAGTAGAATACTGGCTTTCAAATTTTGTTACTATTTCCATTGTCATTTACATAACATTGATATTAAATGATATGGTCTTTTCTACCTTTAATTTAGGAAGAAGAGAATACTGGCATGCTGGCCAATGGTAAATATTGTGTATACTTATGTTTTAGTTTACAAAAAAATTGTTCAGCATTTCATCTAAATAATTCTGAATAAACCACTATTTGTACTTGTTTTTTTTAATAACTCTAACGAATTAACGTTCACAGATTGTCTCAATAATATGTCTCTTCTGCCTATCTTGAATCCTTCTGTTATATTTAAGAAAATTTCTTTTTTAAAAGCCCAGGACTGGATAGCTTCATTGCTGTACTCTACCAAATGTTCAAAGAATCAATACCAATTTTTTAAAAATCTTTCAAAGAACAGGAAGGAATACTTCCAAACTTATTTTATGACACTGAGATCACCTTGATACCAAAATCAGAGAAACATCATGAAAAGAAAATATTCCCATTTAAAATAATTTTCAAAAGAATAAAAACTTAAGAATAAATTTAACCAAGGAAGTAATAAATATGTACACTGAAAACTACAAAATATCCAAGAAATTGAAGCAGACACAGTAAATAGAAATGTCACATGTACATGATTAGAATTAATATTGTTTTAATGTCCGCACTACCCAAAGTGAACTACAGATAGAGTGCAGTCCTTATAAAAATTCCAATGACATTTTTCAAAAACAATCTTAAAATTCATATGGAACCACAAAAGATCCAAATAGCCAACTCAGTCTTGCAAAAAAATAAAAATAGAGGAATCACGTGTACTTCTATTTAACATTTCTAACTGTTAAAAAGCTGTAGTAATCAACAGTATGCTATTAGTATTAAAAATGAACATAAATCAATGGAATAGGATATAATTTCCAGAAATAGACCTATGTTTAAGTGGTCAATTTTTGACAAAGACTCCAAGAATACACAGGAAAGAATAGTTGCTCCAATAAATGGCATTTAGAAAATAGCCATATGTAGAAGATAAAACTGGATCCCTATCCACAACATGTACAAAAATCAATTTTAAATAATAATACATATTTAGCCTTAAAAAAAAATTAAATTCTGCCATTTGAGCAACATGGATGAACATGAGGACATTTAAGTGCAGTAGGCAGACACAGAAAGACAAATACTATATGATCTCATATGTGGAATCTAAAAATGCCAAAATCATAGGGAGGATAGAATAATGCTTATGAGGCGCAGTATACAGGAAGATGTTGGATAAGGGATGCAAAGTTTTAGTTAATGCAAGATAAAAAGTTCTGGAGATTAGTAGTTAACAGTAGGGTATTGTGTACTTGAAATTTGCTAAGAGGGGAGATCTCAAGTGTTCTTACCACATGTAAAAGCTAAATAACTATGCAAGGTGATGGATGTTAATTTGCTTCATTGTGATAAATATTTTATAAAGTATAAATATATCACATTGTCAAGTGTCAGGTATAGCTTAACAAAGTTGGGGTATTTTATTTTTCTCAGGCCCTTTACATTCCACATATAAATGTACATTAGGCCTATATGTAAATAGATATGTATGTTAATGTAAACCTACATTTTGTACATAAGGAGAAAATCATATTCTGTTATTATAGTACATGATTATATATTCTTTATGTGTAAATATCTTTGTTTTTACATGGATTGCCTATGATTAAAATACTTGTTTAAAGGGATCATACAAATTTCTCTATAGTCCTAATAACTTTTCTTGTATATTGTTCTAGTGGTGCTGCTTGATTCATTAGATTCTGTTGCAGAGGTCAACCTTGATGAACAAGGTAAAGCAACTACTGTGCCAAAGGTTATGCCCGAAATAACTGACAATGAAATGACAGGAACAGGTAAAAATGTTTGAAAACTCAGTATTTTCTAAATGTGTAATATTTTATGACTAATTGACTTCATTTATATATAATACATAATAACTATATCCATCCATCTATCTATCTATCTATCTATCTATCTATCTATCTATCTATCTATAAAAGCCTAAGTAATTATTACGACCGGAATGACCAGTTGACCAGTTGCTATGACGCACACTGACCACCTGGGGGCAGACACTCACTGCAGTAGTTGCCCCTGGTGGTCAGTGTGCTCCTACAGCCAACCTTCCACAGACCCTCACCTCCTGCCCAGTCAACCTCCCATGGCCCTTCCCCACCAGCCAGCCAACCTTCCATGGTCCCATCCCCTCACTCTGATGGCCCCCCTGATCAGCCCTGATGCAGGGGCCAGCTGGCCAACCTCCTATTGCCCCTCCCCCTCCGGGCTAGCCAATCTACTGGGGCCCCACCCCCCAGCCGGCTGGCCCCATGATAGGCCTCGATCACCAGCCAGGCTGAGGGAACCCTACCCGTGCATGAATCCATGCACTGGGCCTCTAGTATTGACAATAACATTTTAAATCTCATATTTTCTATATTTAACAACTTCAATAATCTGAACTTGCTAATGGTGACACCTAATGCTAGTCAGCCAAGTAAAATATGTTTTTAAGTAAATGCTTATTAGTAAGTGAGTGGTGGTGATACAAAGTGTAGCACTGTGGGTAAATATTAACTAATTTTTTTGTCACTGTCCAGATTATTCAATTAGATTTGCCATGTATAGGAGACAAAACTTTAGTCTTATTGTGTTTTTCTATAGTTCCCTTTGTGTAGGAGAAAGCTGGATTACATACCAAAATTTTGAATGCCTAGGACATTTGCTTAAGTTTATAAAGAACTTTACGACATTGTCTTTGTAAACTTTTTTAAAGCAGTGGAATCCTATCTCCAAGTGAAATCTTACGTATCTTCTATGTAGCTAAAAATGGTATTTTGTCAGTATAAACATAAATGTTTACATTTGTAATATTTATAAGATAAAACAAAATGGTCTTTTGAAACTTTTGAAATCATAAGTTTATAGATATTTGTTATATTTTCATATCACCATCAGACTTCTAATATGTTAGTATATTTTGGTTTTGTTGTGTAATGCAAAAATATTCTTGACTTACCGTATAAATAGTTACAAATGAGAACTTTTTAATGAGCTTGCTTTTTAAGACTCAGTTGACCAGTGTTGTCAAGTAAACCAATCCAAATAATTGGAAAACAAGAGCAATAGAATTGATAAATCACTAACCAACTCCAAACATCTACTTGAATTTTATTTTTTTCTTTCTTAATTGAAATATGTTATATCTATAAGAAAGTATAATATACTTATCTATACTAATAATCTATATTAATAAAAGGGTAATATGCTATTTAGACTAGGTAGACCGGATGTCTTCCAGACGTCCTTCCAGACAAAGCCACAGTTGTGGGGCTGAGGCAGAGGCAGTTAGGGGCAATCAGGGAGGCAGGCTACAGGGGTTAGGGTTGATCAGGCAGGCAGGCAGGCAGGTGAGCAGTTAGGAGCCAGTGGTCCTGGATTGTGAGATGGATTGGGCCTAAATCAGCAGTTGGACATCCTCCGAGGGGTCCCAGATTGGAGAAGGTGCAGGCCGGGCTGACAGACCACCCCCTACCCCCAAAGCATGAATTTCATACACTGGGTTTCTAATCCTATATAAAAAAGCCTAATATGTTAAGTGTCTAGTTGACCAGTCAGCCGTTCAACCAACCAAAGCATAATATGCTAATACATACTAAGGCCCCTCAACTGCTAGCTATGACGTGCACTGACCACCAGGGGGAAACAATCTGCCAGTTGCTATGATGTGTACTGATCACCAGGGGGCAGATGCTCTGACCAGTAGGTTAGCTTGCTGCTCGGATCCTGCTGATTGGGACTGAGTGAGATGGGCCAGACATGCCGTGGAGCCCTCCTGCAGTCCCTCTCTGGCTAGCCAACCTCCTGTGTCCCTCCCTGGTCCCAATCATGCATTGGTGGGGTCCTGCGCCCTGGCTTGCATTCCTTCACAATCTGGAACCCCTCAGGGGATGTCCGAGAACTAGTTTGGGCCCAATCCTGCAGGCCAAGTTGAGGGACCCAATTGGTACATGAATTCCTGCACTGGGCCTCTAGTGTGTCATATTAGTGCAACTTGAATTTTCAAATACTGAAGCACCCATGTGATCAGCAACCAGATCATGACCAAACTACAAAGTCTGCTCAGACCTCTTTTCTAGTCACTGCCATTCTAAGAGTCACCACTATCTTCACTTGTTTCACCCTTTCCGTTTTAAAATATAAATATATAAAAGTCAAAAACTACAACAGAATTTTCCCATCAAGACAAGTTACTCATTTACTTGTTATTACCTGAGTATTCTGCTATGATGAAAGCATGTTCCTCAGTCTTACTGCTGTTTATGTAAGTTCATTTCACTTATGTGCTGTGATAGTAGATCCACTTGCAGAGTTTTCAGTACGCAGACATGAATTCTTTTAAAAGACCAGGGTAGAGCTGTAGTTTTTCTAATCAGTGATACTTTATAGGGTCATGTATGTACAGTATGGCCAGGAAAACTTTGTTCTAAGATATGCATGAAAACAAAGCAAGAGGCAAAGTTCTGACTCTGATGGTCTTCAGAGTCAGAACTTTGCCTACAATTAAATAATTGGCACATTTGAATATTTAAATTACTTCTTTTTACAATTTTTAAGTTTTAAAGTGCATTTAAAACTGACATTTCAACCAAACATCTGTGGAACACATGATTTTCTCTGAAATACCATGATTTTATAAAATACAATATGAAAACCACTGCTGTAGGTTATTTAAAAAAAACCTCAAAAAAAATGTATTGCTAAAAGTAAAAATTCTTTTGAGATGATCCAAGCAGTTCTATAAAGCTATAGTTTTTTGGTATTATTTCTTAAGTGTTCTTGCCTCTGAAATATTTTGAAGAGACAGTTTCTGGAATATAGTAGAGTATGAACTTATTGTCATGTACACTTTGATTCTTATTCTCATCCTTGCCAATTATCACCTGATTGACACTGGACAGTTAATGCTTCTAAGCTTATTTTTTAAAATTAGACCTTGTGCCGAGACCAGTTTGGCTGAGTGGATAGAGCCTCAGCCTTCGGACCGAAAGGTCCCAGGTTCGATTCCGGTCAAGGGCATGTACCTTGGTTGCAGGCACATCCCCAGTAGGGGGTGTGCAAGAGGCAGCTGATCAATGATTCTCTTTCATTGATGTTTCTAACTTTATCCCTCTCTCTTCCTCTCTGTAAAAAATCAATAAAATATATTTTTAAAAATAATAAATAAATAAATAAGACCTTGTGATGGTCAGCTGTGATAACATATGTTGTGTAGTACATTGTTAAGATTCAATGTGTTGTGTAGTACATTGTTAAGAAATAGCAACTCTGTGGTTGTTAACATTATTATAATTTTTATCAACTGTTGGTTAATAGTACTAAGTTATAATAAAGAACCTGAAATTATCTATAATAATAATAGGGTAATACGCTAATTAGACTGGGCATCCTTCCAGACATTATTCCGGACATCCTCCTGGACAAAGTTTTGGGTACCAGGTGTCTGTCAGAAGCCGGAGGAGAAAAGCCTAGGTCCCGAGTGCCTGCCGGCAACTAGGTCCCTGGTGCCGGAGGGAAGCTGAAGCCAGTGCCAGCAGCTGGGGGAAGGCCTAATCTTGCACGAATTTCATGCATCGGGCCTCTGGTTAATTAGCTGTGGGATATTGAATTTACCTGGTACTTCAGAAATACACTTGAAATTTTCAAATGAGTATCTGAATTTGGGTTAAGAACTAAAAAGATAACTGAGGTTTCTGTTTTTGTTTGTTTTTACCATGGTTTTCTAGGATTAAGCGGGCTCAGATTAGGTACAACATTGTCAAAGATCATCTTTTTAAAATAATATGGATGAAATTCTTGTGCTTTATTGAAAAAAAGGTTGGTATCTATAAAAAAGAGTTTTCCCTAACACCAGCCTTCCATTTGTTTTCATTTGTCCCTCGGGCAGTACCGTACTGTGCTATGACCGGAGCAGTCACAAGGTGACAGTATTGCTTCACAACCTGATGCATGCCTCTGCAACTCAGCGTTTGACCTGTCCCAACTTTCTTAAGTGGACAAATATAAGCTTTTTATATAAAAAATATATAATCAGAATAATAATATATGAAATAAGCTACATAGAATACTCTCCTTTTAATGTAAAACGCAGACTGGTCAGGCCTTTTCTCATGAAGGGCATGAAAAACGTTAACTTGTATGACTTGAGATATTTTAATATCACTTTGGTAAATTTAGGAGAAAAGTATCCCTCCCTCTCTGTTTCCTGAGCAGCACCTAATACCTATATTCTCTACTTTTAATTTGTAATTTTTAGGTCATTTGTTTTTCTGCACATTTGTGCTCCTGTTTCTTTAAAGCCTTGAACCTCTTCTTTCTGAAATCTCATACCTGATAAATTAGATATGATCATTCAGTATTGCTGTGCTATTTAACCATTGGGGTAATTTCTTTTATATACTGGTATATCAGCACATACTTAACTATTTAGGATATTTCTGAGGAAGAGAAAAGAAACACTTGTGCCTTTTTTTTTCTTTCTTCATAAAGATTAATTCTCTCCTTCAGTCATGCTACTCAGTGTGACAGATGGTTAGGGGAAGAGTTAGGCTTACTTAATAGGCAAGATCTTTTTCAAGTCCTATTTAAAAATCCCTGCCACTTGTCACTTAACTGTTCACAATTCTGCTCTAAGTATCCCTCCTTTTTGTTTTAATTTTTTTTAATTATATTTTTTTCATTGATTTCAGAGAGGAAGGGTGAGGGAGAAAGAGAGAGAAACATCAATGATGAGAGAGAATCATTGATCTGCTGTCTCCTGCATGTCTCCTTCTGGGGATTAGGCCTGTTGTGATGTATATTGGTAGGCCATACCTATATATTACCTAGTTGTGTGCTTAACTCTGTAATGTCATCATTGTCCTATGTCTTGTTCACCATTCTTCACAGATTAAGAGATGACATTAGTGTTCTATATTTCTCATGTAGTTGTGGGATTATACTGGAGATTACATTAATTTTAACAGGTGTTTCTTATGGACAAAGCAATAGTGATATTGAAGCTCTTCATCAGGCTTATTGTCATATAGCCCATTCCTTGGGAGATCCTGATGAACAAAGAATTGAGACTGCTGCCATGGAAAATGTCAAGAGCTCAGAGAAAGATCATCCTCAAGAAAATGAGGAGTCCTCCAAAAACATCTCTACTACGGAATCTGGTAAAAGTTTATTTAAGATCCTTTCTGAATAGTTTCCAATTTAGTGTAATTTGGACACAATTTTCTGTAGTGATTATTCTCAATCTCTGAGTTTATTTTAAACAGTTTGTTCAAGTGAAATCTGGAAGTCAGTGATTTAACTATAAAGTTAGAGGTGAACATGGGATAAAATTTCAGTTTCCTAATCTGTTTTGACCAAATTAAGAAATTACTGAATTGTTGTCACATTTTTTAATCTTTTCCATGAACATAGACTAAAGTTATTTTTTAAGTAGAGAACAGTATTTGGGAATCAACTAAATACATATTGAGCAAATAAAACTATATGTGGTTCTACCAAGACATATATATTTTAGACTTGAAATCTATGCATTAAATATAGTTATATATATATTTCAAATATAACTATCAAAGGAAGTTGTCTTGGTACAGAAAGTTTACAGTGGGTTTCTTGTATGAGTCATTTTGTTAACTATGTCAATCAGAGAAAAAGTAATTTTGTTGGTATGAGACATAAAATTAAGCAAGTGACCTAACATTTATGGTTGCTATTTTTAACTTTTCCCCCTCTTAGATCTGCCCACAGTAGAGGAGCTGATGAAAACTATCAGAATAGATTCCTTTGGGATCAGTGGTTTGGAATTACAATCTATAAGGTATGTGTTTTTTTAATTGGATTGTGCAAGTTATTTGATTGTTCATTGTTTTGTCTCTGGAAAATTGTAGAATCATTTTTCTACATTATCATTCCTAGTGAATGATTAATGTGTATCTTGTATGTGTCTATGTATGAACCACTGCTCTCTTCTTTTTAAATTACTTTTTACTCAATTAGTTCATCAAAATTCTCCTAGTGCTAAAATAAGAAAATAATAGATAAATGCCATTAAGTAGTCTTAAAGCTTTTTATTGAAAAATATAATTTTCTTCAGCTTTAAGTAGCTCAGGGACAGTTGATTTTGAATGAAGGGATGGAAAATGAATTTTATTCTGTATATGAGTCATAGATCTTTTTGTTTATAAGCCAGTTAGTTTTGTAATTAGTTGTAGACTGGCCATCATCCTGCAGGATGAGTTTGGACACAAGAGAAGTGGACTTGGAGAAAATGCGCCTGCTCTTATACAGAATAGCACATCACAATAACCTCGTCATGAAACAACTTTGCATTTGTGCATCACTTAGAGTGTCAGATTCATTATCTCATATGCTTTTAGAACAAGTAGGACAGGCATCCTTAGTCCCCATCATTCAAGTGATAAAACTATAATAAAGTCACGATGACGACGACGATGATTACAACCAACATTTTTATCATATATTCACTGTGGGCCAAGTGCTATGCAAAGTTCTTTACATACACTATTATATTTAATCTTATAGCAACTCCATGAAGTTTATTCCATTATTATCTTCATTTCATAAGTAAGAACACTAAGCCTTAAAGGATACAAAGGAAGTCCACATGTTTAACCATTTACATTATCACATCTGTGATGTCCACGAAATATGTCTGTGAAAAGTCTATTCATTCATTTATGTTTTAATAAACACCTTTTGAGCCCCTTGTATTACATCTTCGTCATGGAAATCCACTTGCAGTGTTTTCTTGGCCTTGTTTCTACATTTACGTTAGTTGAGCAGAAATGATACAGTAAAACTTACACTAAAAATCATCTACTTGCACTCTAAGTCTAGTATTCTTCCACTGATCTTCATAGTGACTGGTTGGTCTGCCTCTCGGTCTATTTGCATATTAGCCTTTTATTATATAGGATTACAGAATTAAATTACCTAATTGACCATGATTAAGTAGCTTGAAAATAACAATATCCATATTCTTGGAGTCCCCATACTATGCTGATTTTTAAAAACATTTAGAACATTTCAAGGGACATTTTCCATATGTTATATATCTAATGGTCTGAAATGTTAGATTGCATTTAACTGTTTTAAACCACAGGAATGATTTTATTTCAAAATCCTTGTGACTTTTACTTTAAAAATTTTCCTTTACTGTGTTAAAATGTATGCCTTTTAACATTTATATTCTGTGCCTCATTGGCATATGTAAATTATGATTGCTTCTTTAGTTTCTTCTAGACATGTATAAAATGCTTTTTCTGCTACAAATGCATGTTGACCTTATAAGTATGGTAAAACAATATATTATTAAAAATTCACATAGAAATTTATATTTTATTTTTTCTTATACAAAAGCAATCTTAGTCTTGTTTGGTTTGGCTTTCCTTTGAAGTAGGCCTCAGAATCATTCATGTTTTCCCTTATACTGCATTAACATTATTACTTAAAAATCAAAACTATTATAGGATACTATGTGAGTATGCTCTATTGACCAGAATAGTAAATAATGTATTGCATATTAATTACCTAATTTGAATAATTATACATATTAAATATGTATGCGTATAAATAGTGTGTGTTAATAAAACTGATATTTGAGGAGTCATGGAGTATATATGTTCTGTGTCCTATTTTGTTTTACAGCTATAAAAAACAGGCTGATAGTAAAGAAACTGAAGTCATAAGCCCCTTACCCCTTAAGATGAAGCCAAATGTGTCTCAAGAGCCACAACATGTGAATCAATTATTTGACAAAAATGAAGAGAATGTGGTTTTACAAAAGACAACAAATGAAAGTATAGAAAATTGCTGCCTCAGAGTAAATACTACAGAAGAATGTATAGATAAAATGTACCTTGATATTTTGCGGAAAAAATTATCTGTTGCTCCTTCAGTGTTACCTCAGGAGGACAAAATAAAGAAAGTAAGTGTTTATAATTAAATTAATTTGACATATTGATAAATGAAGTTATATAAAATTATATAAGTGCTCTTGATACATAAGTACTTCTTAAGTTTATGGGATTGATTACTTACCAATCTCCACATAGATCCTGGATATTAGTGAGCAATATTTGTTACAATAGCCTGCAGTCTCCAAATTTAAAGTACCTCTAAGGCATTAGCTTTCTATTAAAGGCCATCATTTATTTGATTAATTTTTTTTTTTTAGTAAGTATAGTTCAGCATTTGAGTAACATAATAAAAAGTTTATTCATCATTCTAGTGCTTTTCATTTAATCTTTCCAGTAGTCTGTTCTGCAAAAGTAGGTTAAGTTGGCATTTCATATTAATGCTATCAGAAATCTTTGAGAAATTCGTATTTCATTGTTCCTTTTTCCTGTGCCCTTGATCTATTCTGATTTATAGATTCATGATCCCAATATTTTTATTTTATAATTTTTAATTATGTGTTTATCATAAACTATCTCCCATTTTTTTGTGTGGAATAAGGCAGTGTATTAAAAAAAAATTTTAATCTTGAGAAATCTGTAGGAAAAAGTAAATAAATTTGTCTTTTCAAAATATATTCTCATCCCACTCCGTGTTAATTCTCATAATTACACATACTGCTTCTGGCAGGCTTATTTTGTATTATTTTGCTTTGTTTTACTCTCGACTTTAAAGATGTGCTGCAAAATATGAGAATTTTGATGACTTGGACTTAGGGAATTTTAATATAGTGGTTTGCCTTCAGCAAACTATGCTATTTAGTAATCACTATGATATTGACATCTGTTAACTCTTCATTTTCAACTATAGTTGAAATTTATTTAAGTACTAAAGAGTTTGTACTTGTTATATGCAGACTTTTAGATCTCAACTCAGTTCTGGAGAAGGGGCTGTAATTGATAAAGAGGTACCATACAAGAAAGCCAGAAGTGCACCTCCTTTACTTAAAAGAAAGCCCCAGAGTGGTGTATATGCATCAGTTAGGAGCTCGGGCTATGGAAAACCCAGTTCACCATGTAAGACTTCTACTCTTGAAAAGAAAACTTCAAAGGACATGATAAAAAGCAAAATCTTGAGATCCATTCTCACCTCAAATCAAGGCAGAAAAAAAGGTAATCATTATATACTCTTTTTCATAATAGAGATCTGTTTTTTATACAGTTGACCCTTGACCGTGAGTTTGAACTGGCTTCTGGCTGAGTGGCTATGTGAAATTTTGTCACTGTAAATGTACTTTCCTTATGATTTTCTTAATAACATTTTATTCTCTATAGTTTATTGTAACAATACAATATGTATTATATATAACATACAGAATATGTGTAAGTTATCAGTAAGGCTTCTAGTCAATAGTAGTCTACTTGTACTTAAGCTTTTGGGGAGTAAAGTCATGTGAATTTTCTAACCCCTGAATTGTTCAAGGGTCACCAATAGTGTTTTATTTAACCTTCCTTGTTCCTTACTTTTCCTGTTTTCTTCTCCCCTTCTATGAACTTTCCTTATTCACAGAAAAGAACTAACTTTAAGATACACATTCCATTTCTGAAAGATTCAATTTATAGAAGGTTTTTCATCATTACTTCTGGGTTTTCCTGAATGATACCCAGAAAATATGGGATGTGAATATAAGATAGGAAAGTCAAACCTCCTGATCTGGTTGGCTCTGAAATAGCCAGTGTTTACTAGAGCTATAAATTCAAAATGCAATGGTTACCTACAAATAAAGGTTGAAAGATTGTCACGACATTAGTTCAGAATAGACTTGGAGAGGCAGGATATTTTATTTATAATATATTGCATATTTTGTACATCACAGTGCTTCTTTTATTTCCTAATGTAGTCATTTATATTGACAGTTGGAAAGGGTAATTTTTAACTTGGAGGCAATGCAACTATTAAAGAGAAATGTTCAGGTCACAGCAATATTTATGCTGCCTTTAGATTCCAGTGGGAAAGGTAGAGCAATAATAGAGCCAGAGACATTTTGGCACTTCCTTTGTTGTTAAATTAAGTAGGTGAGTGATTTCATCATTGTAATATAGTGATAGTTGTCCAAGAACTGACCTCATTGGAAAAATTATTTCTAGCTTCAAGTACGTTCCCCTGCCTTTCCTTATTGCTATCCATTTCAGGACCACTTTGACCGTACAGGCATATCTCATTTTATTGTGCTTCGTTTTATTGAGCCTCACAGAAGTTATGTTTTTTACAGGTGGAGGGCAAGATCCTCCACCAACACAAAGATTTCAACTCACTTTATTGTAATACTCACTTTATTATAGTGGTCTGGAGCCAAACCCACAGTATCTCCAAGGAATGCCCATCCTGTATAATAAAAGGCTAATATGCAAATCGACTGAACTGTGGAATGATTGGTCACTATGACATGCACTGACCACCAGAGGGCAGACACTCAATGCAGGAACTGCCTCCTGGTGGTGGTCAGTGCGCTTCCACAGGAGAGCACCACTCAGCCAGAAGCCAGGCTCATGGGTGGTGAGCACAGTGGTGGTGGTGGGAGCTTCTCCTGCCTCGGTGACATGTCTGACTGCTAACTTAGGCCTGCTCCTCAGGGTGAGTGGGCCTAACCATCAGTCAGACATCCCCCGAGAACTCCCAGACTGCAAGAGAGGGCAGGCTAAGCTGAGGGGACCTTCCCCCCTCACTCTTCCTTCCCTCCGCACCCCCCCATCCCGCAAATGCATTAATTTCATGCACTGGGTCTCTAGTATTTAAATGTTTTTATGCATCAAAGACTCTTCTGTCTTCATGGATATGTTTTCACTGTAGTAACCTGTGCATATTAGATGGAAAGGCTAGGGCTGGTCTGTGTCAGAATGAAGGAGAATAGCAGTAGAGGTTGATTATTCTTGAGAGAAAGGAATATGATTCTGTTGGATTAACATAAGCAAATTCCTGTTCCTAACTAGGAACCTCTATTCCCTTCCCCCCAGAAGGGAATAGAGGTTCCTTCTGTGTTCTCTTTCATCTTGCTTTTGTGTGCAACATTTGCTTGTGATGTTATCATCTACTCAGTTATTAATAATTAACCATTCACTGGATCTAGTACTTAATATTAAGAAAAGATTCTTGGGATGTTTATCAAATTTTAGAATCATCAAGAAGAGTATAAAAATTTTCATTGATGTTTCAGTATTCATTTTGTACTTCAGGAAGCAAGAAAATGAAATTTTGTTTTTAATATTATTATATTTATTTTAGGTTAGCCCTAAACATTTTTGAAGTTTGCTTTATCCAAATTTATTCATTTAACAAATATTTTTTCAGCACCTTACCTTGTTCCAGGCACTGATAGATACATCAGTAAACAAAATGGGCAGAAAACCTCCCCTCCTCAATTTTCTAAAACTTCTCATTGGATGAGGAGAAATAGATATTTAACAACAAGCATAATAATTAGTAAATGATATTATGAGCAAAGGAAAAGAAAAAGTAGAGCAACAGTGTCAGCGGTGGGGTGTGGCGGGTCACAGTTTTAGACAAGCTAGAGTAGGCCTCCTTGAGAAAGAGGTATTTGAATAAGGATTCGTGGGAGGAAAGGGAATTGCCACGTGGATATTTGGGAGCAGCATACTCCAGAAAGAAGAAACAGCCAGTGAACGGTCAAAGTAGGGAGGAATGCCTGGCATGTTCCAGGAAAATCATAGAAGCCTCATATGGCTAAAGCAGAGTGAACAAAGAGGGTGGGTAGTAGGAGATGAGATCAGACAGGTAGAGGCAGGCATACATAGGTATTCCAGGGGCATTTTAAAGACTTCTAATTTTACTGTGAGTGAAAAGGTGAGCCACTAAAAAGTTTTGAGCATGGGAGTGACCTATCTGACTTATCCTTTAGACAGATTTCTCTGGCTGCTGTGTTACAGACTGTATACATACATACACATACTATAGGGGACTGGACGAATGTTTCAGGAATCCAGTAATGGGGCTTGAACCAGGTGGTGTCAGTGGAGGTAATGAGAAGTGGTTAGATAGGAATACATGTAGAAGATAGAAACAAAAATCTAAAATACTTGTTTGAGGTTTAGAAAGAGGAGTCATGGATGATGCCAATGTTTCTGGCTTAAAAAACCATAAGAAGAGTTACTATCCAGCTGGGTGAGGAAGGCAAGAGTAGAGGAGATGTTGGAGTGTAGAGATGAGGCATCTAGCTGTTGATTGTTTGGGGATGTCTGTTCTGTATTCAAGTGGAGATGACTAGGAGGCAGTTAGATTAAAAAAAAAAAAAGTCTGGAGTTCAACAGGGAGGTTTGGACTGAAGATATAATTTGGGAGATGTTAAAAATATTTTTTAAGCCATGAGACTGATGAAGATTTTCAAAAGAGGGAGCATAGTTAGAGGGAAAAAAGCCAACCAAGGCCTGAACAAACATTAAGATGTTAGGGAGAGGATGAGTAACTACAAAGAAGAGAGTAAGGTTGGAGGAAACCTGAATATGTGGGATCCAAGTGAAGAACATGCATAAAGGAGAACTGATCTGCTCTATCAACCCCTGCTGGAGAAAAAGATGAGGACTGGCAGCTAGCCCTTGGGATTAGCAAGAAGGAGGCCATCAGTGTTCGGCAAGTATTTTCCATGGATATGTGGCTGTAAAAGGCAAATAGGAGTGGAATTGGATATTTCCAGTTATAGACCACCCTGAAGAAAGGATATAAAAGGCAGGGGAAATGGTCAGAAGCTGTCATGAAAATAGAGTCAAGAGAAGCCTTTATTTTTGTTTTGCTTTGTGTGGGGTGTTTTGTGTGTGTGTGTGTGTGTGTGTGTGTTTGTTTTGTTTTGTTTTTAGTTTTTTTTTATTAAGGTATTATATGTATATATATCTTACCATTGGCCCCCCTACCACACTCCCAAACATGCCCTCACCCCCAAGCATTTTGCATCTGTTGGTTATGCTTGCATGCATACAAGTCCTTCAGTTGATCTCTTATCTCCCCCACCTCTCCCTAACCTTCCTGCTGTAATTTGACCATCTGTTTGATGCTTTACTGTCTGTTCCATCTTTTTGTTCAACAGTTTATCATGTTATTATCCATAAATGAGTGAGATCATGTGGTGTTTTTATTTCATTGACTGGCTTATTTCACTTAGCATAATGCTCTCCAATTCCATCCAGATTGCTGCAAATGGTGAGAATTCCTTCTTTTTTATGGGAGTATAGTATTCCATTGTATAGATGTACCATAGTTTTCTGATCAGTCATCTGCTGATGGCACCTAGGCTGTTTCTAAATCCTAGCTATTGTAAATTGTGCTACTATGAACATAGAGGTGCATATATCCTTTCTAATTGGTGTTTCTAGTTTCTTAGGATATATTCCTAGGAGTGGGATTACTGGGTCAAATGGGAATTCCATTTTCAGTTTTTTGAGGAAACTCCATACTGTTCACAGTGGTTGCACAGTCTGCGTTCCCACCAGCAGTGCACAAGTTTTCCTTTTTCTCCAGATCCTCGCCAATACTTGTTATTTGCTTTGTGGATGATAGCCATTCTGACAGGTGTGAGATGGTACCACATTGTCATTTTGATTTGCATCTCTCGGATAATTAGTGACTTTGAGCATCTTTTCATGTGTCTCTTGGCCTTCTGTCTTCTTTTGAAAAGATTCTATTTAGGTCCATTGCCCATTTTTTTATTGGATCATTTATCTTCCTATTATTAAGTTGTATAAGCTGCCTGTAGATGTTTTTAATCAAAGAAATAGTATAAATTGTGTTTCTGCTTTTTGGAAAGATTCAGTAAATAAGAAAACATTCATGATGGAGAAAGGAAGAAGAATTGTCAGAGCAATGTCCTTGAGTAGAGGAGCAGTAATGGGATCTGGTGAACATTCAGAGGGTTGGCTTTAGATAGGAACACGGGCCTTTCATCTGTGGAAGCAGATAGGAAGGGGGAGGCTGTGGATACAGATGCTGGTAGGTGGGGAGAAATGATGAGAGAATGTGGATTATTTCTTCTGATTTGGTTTCATTTTCTCTGATAAATAAAATGCAGTGTCATTAGCTGTCAGTGAGGATAGGTCAGGGGAATTGGAGGAGGGAGGAGAGATGTGAAAGAGTTAACTTAAATCATTAGATTGCCAGTAGCAGAAAGTGTCTACTTCAAGTACCGTGTTTCCCCGAAAATAAGACATCCTCGGAAAATAAGACCTAGCGCAACTTTGGGAGAAAAAATTAATATAAGACACTGTCTTATTTTCGGGGAAACAGGGTAGGTGATCATGAATTTAAATTGCAACAGGGTAGAGGGTGTGTGTTTGTGTATTTGTGTGTGCATAGCCCATGTTTTACTGCATTATTGCAGGTGTAGTTGTATAGCTGAATTTACCAAGAGGAGTGTTTTTTGCCAAATGTGTTCAATGAACTAAGAGGGCAGTAAGAAGGTAATGAAGGAAAAAAGGACATTAAGGGCTGTGAACAGTTTGAAATAGGTAGACTCAACAAACTGTGAGTCCTAGTGGAATGGAAGATAGCTTCTCCATTTTGGAATTATTTTGATTGGTTTCTTATTTGACTGGATTTTCGTAATTGTTTTTTTCAAGAAGGGCTCATGGGTTCCAAATTCTGTTTTCATGCTTGAATTTTTATCTAGATACATTTCTTGTATGTATAAAGAGAGAAAATACTGTCCGCATATATTGGAAAATAATTACTTAGCGAAATAAAAATTAAGAACTTAGGGAGAGTTCTGTGTAGAAGCAGTGACTGGCTCTTGGCTGCCCTGTCCCAGGGAGAATCACCATCCCAGCAAATCACAACCCAGTCATTTGCCACATTCATGGACCTCCAGTGATTTGGAAGGATTAGTGTCTGCTTTTCTAATGACTCAATTTCTTACAAAGTGCTTTAAGAAATTTCTCCGGAAAAACCTAAATCAAACAGTCCAGTTAAGCATTACTACTGTAAGGAAAATGTCTAAAAAGATTGCAATCTTTAAGTGAGGTACTATTGGTAAATTGTTTCTTCTTTAGACTTTTCTTTTTCACATCTTTAATAACCATGCATTTCACTTTTAATAGAAAAATTTTAGACTTAAAAATTTAACATCTTGAAGATACATTAAAAATATAAATTTCAAATTCTTCATTCTGAAAGAAGGCAGCAATTTTTAACAATATGCCATAAGGATTTTAAAATTTGTAATACCTATTTATCAGGGGCCACTGACTTCTTTTCCCTTGGGTTGTCAAATTAAAAAAATGACAATAGCCAACACAATAATAGCTATCCAGTTTCAGTGAATCAAAATATTTGTGTCAGATAGGCAAAAAATATATTTGTGTGTGTGCACAGAAATTTAGTTTATGTGTGCCATAAGATGATAAAGGCTGAAAATTACTGCTTTGAATATGGACCTCAAAATCTTTTATATGTATTTCCCTTAATTTTTTTTATTATTAACTGAATTTATTGGCCTTATAATCATTTCTACTGTTTGGGGTTTACATGATAACTTAAAAGCTAAAAATTTGGCCTGATTATATAGTAATCACTTTTTTTTCTAATTGAATATATATTATCTGGGCATTAGAGCAGTATTATATCTTTTAAAATCAGTTTTGACTAGCTGTTATCAAGTTCTCATGCTACTTTTATTATTTCATTAATACTATGATATCTTGATAACACACTACTTATAAAAAGTATGTTTTAAAAGTACACTTAATTTCAACCAGTATTTCATAAAGTTATTAGCCGCTCTTTAATTGTTTAGATAGTCTTACTTAGTGCTGTGAACTTAAAAAAAAAATTATTTTTAAGGTAGCAAAACCTGACATTATTACATTTATGTAGCTCCTTTTCTCATTTGACATGAATCTTAGGTCTATTAATCTTCTGTGTCAAATTGAGTAGAATATTGATTATGGGCAACAGTTCTGAGTTTAGTGTTTTATATATCAGTCTTTTTAAGATTCTCATTTATCTTATGGTTATGTAATTGCTCAATTTGACTGAATTTTCATAATCCATTGTTTTTGGATTGCACATTCAACATTGTTTGCATTTGTGGTGTTTTTATCTACTGTCTTCAATATTTAGAAATCTTATCTGAAACAAAACTCAAGCCTGCTGCATTCGGTAAACCAGCTCTCAAAACTTCAAGTTGCCTGGCTACTCCTAAGAAGTCTGAAGATGCTACAGAAATTGGTTCCTGTGTTCATTTTCAAAATGTAGGTATTAAATTTAAAAATATTCATTATGTCTTTATGTTCTAAAATCATATTAAAACCAAATTATAAGTAATTAAATATATGAAACTTTTTTGTTTCAAGTGTTCACTCTTATTGAGCAGGTATTGCTTTTCTTAAGTAGAACATTATTAACCTTGTCATTTTATTCTTTGAGGAGTTTGTGTGTGTCTTTGAATCTTATATGTAAAACTATAACAAAGTAATGCTTTTATTTAAAAGGATTCTTCAGGATATCGTGATGGGAACATGGACAAAGAATCAATTATGTTTAAAAGAGTTCAGGAAGCAGAGGAAAAATGGAGGGGTGCACAAGCCTTAATTGAGCAAATTAAAGTCACATTCTCCGAAAAAGAGAGAGAGTTAGAAAATAAGGTGGAAGAACTAAAAAGACAACAGGAAAAGGAACTCTTCAAATTGAGTCAGGACAATTATATTCTTCAAACCAAGGTACTAGACACATAGTTCTATTCTTTTTTATTGGTTAAAAAAAGAACTTGTACTCTCTACTAAATGCATTGTCACCTTTTTTTCCTTTGGGCTGTTTGGCTTTATGTATTTGCTGTATAAAACATAAGCATAGTTCCTGAGAATGCCGACTTACACAGGAGTCTAATTCCAACTCCATTGAGTGGGAATCAAAATACATATATTAGCTCATTTTGATACTTTTCTTTTAGCAATCCTTTTAAACTAAATCCCTTAGTTCAGCAGTCGCCAACCTTTCAGACCTCAGGGACCACCATTGGCAACCTCTGTCTTAGTTCTCTGTGACCTTCAAAGAAGGTCAATTCAGAAAGAACCGCTATAGAAGGTCAAAATGAAGAGAATGGCACTCTGTAGCATTTGAGTTACTTGCATTTCAGAACCATCAGCATAAAACGATACTAATGATTTAAATGTAGTTGGTGTTATGTTAATTCCACCATTGTTATAAAACTGTTATTCTTTCTCACTTCATCATTTCTTTCCTCAAATAAAACAATTTCATTTTCTCAAGTTAAATAGCTTTGGAGAAACAAACAAAAAACAAAGGTGGTTACATGTTGGAGAAACAACCAATCCTGTCACTGAAGAAAAATTGAAGCAAATCCAAAAAGAAATACAAGAACAAGAGACACTTCTTCAAGGATACCAACAGGTATGGTGGTTCTTCAGCACATAGTGAGGTTGTTCTTGTGATCCTCTGATTATAGAAACAAGGTATATTAAAATATTTCATTTAACAGGTAATAGGAATTCTGGCAAATACGAGGAAGTGATAATTTGACTAATCTGCCTGTTTCTCATGGACAGAATTACAGTGGTTAAGAGCACAGGTTATATATTCAAAGAATCTGGTTTAGACTTAGCTCTACCATCTGCTGTGCAGTCTTGGACAAGTGACTTCACTTCTCTAAGCCAATTTTCTCATTCGTGAAATGGGGATGATGATAATAATACCTGTCTTATAAGGCAGTTATAAAATTAAAACAGCACAATCTAATCTCTTAGTGCCTGGCACAGACTAACCAATCAATGACTGTTGTTGCCTGTCATTTTTAATAGTCATGTTCCTTAAAAACTTTGCTATTTTCTATAATTTTTTTCTAAGCTTTTCAGTAGATAATATTGAATGGTTTTATTCAATTGAAAAATGTGAATCAGTTGAGTGAAAAAATTTTGAATTAAAGGGGAAAAAATTTGTCCTACAGAAGGCAAATATCCATGATATGTGATGGAATCTTGGTGATGTTGACCTGACAGTCAACCAGGATAGGTTCAGTAATCTCCAGCATGAGATTTCATCTTAGTTTCTTCCCTCCCTTTCTCCTTCTATCTTACTACCTTTTCCTCTTCTGACAACCATACCTTAAACATTGAGCCTACCAATGGCAAGCATTATCATCCAGGGACATCCCCAAAAGAGCATTACCACATCAAAGATTATAATAGTTACTATAAATGAAATAGATCTGATTTTTTTAATGTGTTTTTGAATATATTTTTATTGATTTCAGAGAGAGGAAGGGAGAGAGGGATAGAAACATCACTGATGAGAGAATCATTGATTGGCTGCCTCCTGCATGCCCCCTACTGGGGATTGAGCCTGCAACCTGAGCATGTGCCCTGACAGGAATTGGACCATAACCTCCTGGTTCATAGGTTAATGTTCAATCACTGAGCCACACCGGCTGAACAAAATAGGACTGATTTTGTAGGACATATTGCCCTTGAATAAGACGTTTCTGAACCTTGGCCTGCCATTCTGATTTTGCTGTACAGAGCATGGGATTTTAGGAGGATTTCACAGACCTAAAAGTTTGCCAACCATCCCCTCCCACAATATTAACACACAATTTATGTACCTATATAATATTTATGTACCTTTCCCTGGAGCAGAGAGTTGGAATATGATTATTCCTACAGTCACTCACCAGTTTACTCTTGTGAAATGCAGTATCTCATTCTGACATTAGGCACATTGGCTTTTGGAATCACTGAACTTTTTTTTTTTTAATAAGCATTTGAAAAGAATTGTTTTCAGATAAGTTATCTTCTATGATAATAAAGAATTTTAAAAATATTTTGCTTATTCAAAAACTGAGTTTTTAAAAACCTTAAAAATGTATAAAGTGTATCTCTTACGAGCATATGTAATTTTCTACTTTTATAAAGGAAAACGAAAGACTGTATAATCAAGTGAAAGATCTCCAAGAACAAAACAAGAAAAATGAGGAACGAATGTTCAAGGAAAACCAGAGTTTATTCAATGAGTTAGCAACCTTAAAGTAAGTCCCTTTTAAGTTCTTAAAATAATAATTAGACTATTTCTAAGCACTTTATTGTTATATTAAAAATACATTTAGTTATACTTAGAAAAGAAAAACTTTTATATACTATTTAGAGTTTCATAACTTTTATATTTTGAAGATTTGATTTTTATTTTGGTATTAGATGAGTAATATATACTATAGCATTTCATCATATTTATATTTGAGCTTGGGATCACCTTCAGAAAACTAAACATATAATATTTTCTTGATCAATCATGAAGCCTGAGATGCTTATGTAATGGTAGTGGTGATGCCTTTCATAATAATGCAAAACAAAAATCATACAATGTCACTTACCATCCTAGATCAGGTACATACAAGGAGAGTCTCAGATGGAGATCTTGTGGAGGTGATTCCTAGAGAATAACTCAGGAGAAAAGGAGCAAGAGAAGAAAGATGAGAGGTGGGCAGGGGGAGGGGGAGGGAAGGTAAATAAGTGTGTTCAGCTGAGAGAGGCTCCATTCTGTTCTCACCAGGAGGCTTGGGAGAACAGGTTGCACCACATAGTTGGCCCTTATCTGGGGCAAGAGAGGGAAGCCTTTTGTACCCACAAGCCAGTCTGTCACTGATCAAGAGGTGCCCCAGGCAGTGGTTGAGGTATATCCTCTGGACCAGCAGTCCTCAACCTTTCTGACCTCATGGACCACCGGTTGGCTACCGCTGCTCTGGACCAGGGGGAGGAGTTGCTGTTTACCTGAGGCATTTCTCCAGAGAAAGAGAACCTTCAGTTAATCATCCAGTACTAACCATGGTGAGCTGATGGAGCACGAGCACCTACTTAGGAATTATATTGCAGGTCTGTGGGATGTTACTGCATCCAGCTTTCACATACTATCTGCTTTTAGGAAATGACTACCAGTTGTGCATCATTTCACATAAACACCTCTCAGGACTGCTCTAAGAAGCAGCTTTGGCTATGAATGTCCTGAATGCGGTATTCGTACTCCCTGCCTTTTTTTTTTTTTTTAAATATATTTTATTGATTTTGTACAGAGAGGAAGGGAGAGAGATAGTTAGAAACATCGATAAGAGAGAGTCATCGATCAGCTGCCTCTTGCACACCCCCTACTGGGGATATGCCCGCAACCTAGGTACATGCCATTGACCGGAATCAAACCCGGGACCCTTCAGTCCCCAAGCCGATGCTCTATCCATTGAGCCAAACCAGTCTCGGCCTTCCTGCTTTTTTTTGTTGCTGTGAGATAACCTAGGGCAGTGGTCTGCAAACTCATTAGTCAACAGAGCCAAATATCAGCAGTACAACAATTGAAGTTTCTTTTGAAAGCCAATTTTTTAAAATTTCTTCTAACACCACTTCTTCAAAATAGACTCACCCAAGCCGTGATATTTTGTGGAAGAGCCACACTCAAGGGGCCAAAGAGCCACATGTGGCTCACGAGCCGCAGTTTGCCAACCATGGACCTAGGGCAAGCATGTCAAACTCAAGGGCTAACATGGGCTTAATAAACGAGGCAGAGACTCACAAGGTTGACATCGGGTTTAAGAGGCAGGGCTGCTGTTATGTACCTGTGTGGTATTTATGTACTATCTGATCTTTCATGGGAAATAGAAAAAGTGCACCTTCTAGCAGACAGACAAAGCTAGAAGGTATACAGGTTGGCAAGCAAGGCCACTTTTTTGTAAATTAGAAAAACAACAACTCTCCTTTTCACAGGTAAGTGTGATCTCAGCCCAAAGGCAATAATCTGCCAGTTCTGATACATGAAAGCATTTACATCTGCCTTCTTCACAGATGTTTCGATTAAGTATTTAAAAATATTAGATTATATACTACCTGGCTGTTAAAAGAGAGCTACTTCAGGATCCAAATCTGAAACTCTAAATGAATTTTCATAATGAAATCAGCGGTTTATTTGGTACATTAGGGTTAGATCCTCATATATGGATTCTTAAACTTCTTATATAATGTCTCTGGGAAAAAAAAAATGAGCCTAAGGTAAAAATAATAGGCTGTTTGGGTTTGTTAGTTGGCAATTTGTATTTCTCAGAAAGGGGTCTAGAATGATGTGACAGGGAGTACACAGCAGACCATCCTCTGTGACATGGATTTCTTGTCTGGAATTGAGAGGATTTTATAGTTCTCTTCAGTGACTCATTTAGTTTCAGCATTCACTTAATTTCAGCATTCTTTAGAGTTCTTTAATATTTAAAAATTAAAAATTTTGCACTGAAAAGAGTACCTTGTATAAAAAAATATTTTTATTTTCAAAATAAATCAGAGAACAGATGCAAAGAAATCGTTTCCTGTCTCAAGTAGTTGAAGATTCAGAGCCCACGAGAAACCAGAATTTTACAGATCTGTTAACAGAACTACGCATGGCACAAGTAAGTGGAATAAGGATTTTAACTGACTATTAACAAAAGTAAAGATTACTATTTTAAAAATTAGCATATGTGTAAAAACTTTATTTTACAATTTATGAATGAATAAGATCATTTTATAAATTTCATACCACTTAAAATTTTAAAAACATCAAAGATTAGCATTTAGCACATACATGTAACCTTAATTTAGAGGAAATAGTAATTCTGGTTTTATAGATGGCATCCTCTTAATACATAGCCTCTCTTCAGGCATTTATTATATGGAACCATGTTAGACTCATAACCTTATTTAGTGCATGCATACATTATTTCAAACAGATTCCTCATGAAAAATGTACAGCTTAAATAGAAAAATAATTTGAAGATGATTGTTTACCTTAAAAAACATAGTTGGCTTTTTACCTGTCTTCCTAAGTGGACTACATGCTTGTAGGGGGCAGAGATTATATCTATAAAGATTGTATTTGACATACCGACCACAAAGGAAAAATGGAATAATTATTCCCTATTTTTTCTTTATTTTTATTAATTGCATTGTATTACTTGCATTGCATTATTATAAAGAATATAGCCTATAATTTTATGGAGCAGTTTTTATCAATGGAAGACATTTGGGGCATGTTAATTTTATTTTAAGCAGAACCATGTCATGTATTGCATAATTTTTATAAGCTCTGTCTGCAGTGCACCCACCAATCATTTTAACAGTCAAAACCACTGCCACAAAAACCATAGCACTAAACTAAAAAGCCCTTCCACTCTCTTTGAAGGATTAAACTAGAAAAATTACAATTACATGTCACTTTTTAATCAAATTTATTATATGAAGAGAGGTTATGGTTACATAGAAATTTAAACATGCCATCTATAATAATAGCACCGTATGCTAATTAGACCAGACAGACGACCTTCCAGATGAAGCCAGGGCTGTGAAGGAAGCCGGTGCCAGCAGCTGGGGGAAGGAAGGCCTCCTCTTGCATGAATTTCATGCATCGGGCCTCTAGTCTATAATAATAAAAACATACAATGCAGATCTACTGAACGGCTTTGGACATCCTTCTGGACGACCTTCTGGTCAAAGCCGGGGCTGCAGCCTTGGGATTGAGGCAGCCACTATGGCTGCAAGGGAGAGATCAAGGCAGCTATCGAGGCTGTGAAGGCCTACTCTTCCACAAATGTCATGCATCGGGCCTCTAGTAGTTTAATAATTGATGTTTCACGGGTTTTTGTAGTATATAAAATGCAACCTCAAATATGAATTCATTAGAGAACTTTCTTCAGATGTGTATATGTACAGAATAACTATTAGAGACAAGATACCAGAACATTAGGCGGCTACATCCTTCAGGAAAATAGTGCACTAGGAGAAAATCTACCCACCTTTGTAAGGGGCAGTGATGTCAAGTAAGCTTTTCCGTCTTCACTTGATCTCTAGATAGAGATGGCAGAAAAGTCTCATCTGCTTGATGACCATGCTTTCCTGGTTCAGTGTAAATATCATTTCTCCTGCCTTCATTTGTGTTTTAGTGTTTGAATTGACCTTACCTTCAGGGGATGGTCATGCTCAAATAGCAGAAAAATAAACTTTGGTCCCGAGTCAGTGACAACCCCTAATGTGTTAGAAGAAACAAAGCAATATGACTCTTAGAGGTATACAGCCTTACCGAGCTCACACAGTATTCCTACAGACATTGTGCTCACAGTGCAAAATTACAAATCCCAGAGAAGCAATCCACTATGAGCAGGCAAGGGACGATTTAATGAACAGCAGGATTAGCGCCCCAATAGGATTACTGAATAGACTATAAAATAAAAAGCCTTAAAATTATTAAATATATTAAATAATGAGTAAAAGAAGGAAACAGACTAGGAAAATTCAGAGTAAAACAACTCTTGAAATAAAACATATTCCTGAAAACTAAAATATAAGTGAAGTTAAATAATTATATACAACTGTGGAAAAAATAGTAAACTAGATGATATAGCTAAAGAACTTAGAGACAGAAAAGTAGAAAAATGGATATATCAGAAATATGAGATGTTAGAGTATTTATATATTTTTAAAAGAATGGCTGAACATTTTTCTAGAAATTATAAAAGAGAGGAATTCTCAAATACAGGAAGCACAGTGAATCCTGCTTAGGATAAATAACTAAAAAACTATATCTAGGCCCATTATGGTGAAACTACCAAAGGCAGAGAAAACTTTAAAAGAAATTTTAAGAGAAGAAAGAAAAAGTGTTAGTTTAAGGTAAAAATTCTTTGGGGTTTTATTTGTGCAAATACCAAAAGGTGGGATGTAAATTCACCTTTAATTTTATTTCTTTGGTATTTGTGTTTAAATTAGTTTTAGAGAAAAATTACTCATATTGGGATAAATCTGTAATATAATGATATATCAAGTATACTTGTGTACAGTCTAATTTGTATTTTAATTGGCTTAATCTTAACATGTGAGTTGGTTCTTTATAAACTAACATGTGAGTTGGTTCTTTATAAACTACTAGAGGCCCAGTGCATGAAATTCGTACACGGGGGTTCCTCAGCCCAGACTGCACCCTCTCGCAGTCCAGGACCCTTGGCTCCCTACCACCCACCTGCTCGTTGCCCCTTAGCCCTGATGCGGAGGTGGGAGAAGCTCCTGCCACTGCTGCTGTGCTTGCCAGCCATGTGCCCAGCTTCTGGCTAAGTGGTGCTCTCCCTGTGGGAGTTCACTGACCACTAGGGGGCAGCTCCTGAATTGAATGCCTGCCCCTGGTGGTCATGTGCATCATAGCGACCGGTCATTCTGACCATTCCACTATAATGGTCGCTTAGCCTTTTATTATATAGACTGGTGGTTACATACTAAATACAAAGGTCCTGAACCTTTTCCTTTCAGTATCCAGGGTGGGGAGGAGAATGAGGCTGACCACAGTCATTCATTCGGTCAGTCTTTATCAAGCACCTGCCAGGTGCCAGGCACTCACACTGGCCTTAGAAAAACAGTAGGTAAAACTGGATAGTTATAGACCTTGCTCATTAGAACATACTGTATATTCTAGTGGGAAAGACAGATAGTAAGTAAACCAATGAAATGATTGCATATAGTGGTCAATTCTTTGAAGAAAGTAAATGTATAGTGGTCAATTCTTTGAAGAAAGTAAATGTAGAGAGTCACGGTGGGTGAGATGGGAAAGGCAGTATTATTCAGGGGAAAGCACAAATCCTAAATAAAAAATGGCTGACCTCCCAGAAGCAGAGGCCTCTGAGGCAGAAGTGTGTGAGTCAGGATGAGAGTGGGGGAAGGTAAGGTCAGAGAGGCAGGCAGAGGTCCTATATCTGGATCTCTCCCAGTAACAAGGGAGGGGAAGTACTTGCTAGCCAAAGCTCTGCACCCACAGGATTGACACGGGCATACTGGCCTTCGTACTGGTGGGAAGTCTCAGTGCCTGGACAGATGCAAGCATAAAATGGACTTCCATTCAAGCAGCGATTGCATATTGGAACTCAAGATGTTTAAAGTTTCTTTGAATTCTAAAATTCTATAATGCTGTGAAGTATACACTGTAAGAGAACATTTATAAATTGAATTAATTAAATAAAACAAAGGGGTACTTGGAGACTCAGTGCTCTCCTGAAAAGACATCCACAGAGATGAAACAGTGAAATGATGCAGTAAGTCTGTGATGCAGCTAGAAACCAAGATCATATGATACTTTATGAATGGATTGGTTTTTTTAGTAAGACTAGATTTTAAATTATAAGGAAGTATAATTTGTAAGACTTTTTATTTTGAAACTTAACTATACCAAGTGTACTACCATGAGCCCAATTCAGTGTACATTTATTATCTGCCATGTGCTTAGCCCCATAAAGTAAACAGGTAGTAATAAATCAGTCTTGGTCCCCAGAGAGCTTTCAGCCTAAGAAAGAGAAAAGGTGTGTACATAAACAGAAAGTAACAAATGCTATACTAGAGGTAGAGTGAAAGTGTGTCAGGGCACAGAGGAGGGAATAATCAGGAATAGCCCCATCTGAACTAAGCTTTGAAAGATAAGTATGATTTTGTCAAGCAGCAGGATGGGGGCCATTGAGAATAATGTGGAATGTAGGGGATATTGAGAATTCACTCAACATTTTTTTTGATGTGCCATGCGTATGTCAGGTGTTGAGGAGTGTTGTGAGAAGAAAATAAAGCATTATACCTGGGGGCCAGGATGGGGGTTGCTATTTTAGAGAGAGTGATCAGGGAAGGATTTCTGGGGCTTCATTTGAACAGAATTTTTGAAAAATGAAGGAGCAAGCCACCTGCTATCTGGGGGCAAAGGAAATAGTAAGTACAAACACACTGGTGTAGGAGTGTGCTGGGCATGTTCAAAGAACTAGGAGGTCTCTGAAGTAGAGTGGGAGAGCGGAGATTTGTAGTAGCTGCACTCAGAAATGTGAACAAGGCTGGGATATGTGACACTGAAGGTCATGGTAAGAACTTTGGGTCCTTAGAGGATGGCAGCCAGAGAGTTTCAAACAAAGGGGTGTTATTAACTGACTCTCTAAAGCAATCCTCTGGCACTGTAAGGAGAACACGGTAGACTGTGGGTGCTGAGAATTGAAGAGGCAGGTTATTGCAGTTTCCAGAAGTTAGAACAGTAGATTTAGAAGGTCTTTCAGGCTGTACTGAGTTAATTGATTAGAACTGATTTTAGTAGGCTGTGGGGAGCTATTAATAATTTGGGGTGTTGGGGGTAGTGTGTTAAAAATAAAATCAGTTAAAATTTAGAAAAAATAATTATCAGTATTTGTAATAGATTGTGTGTAAGAGACTAGGCTACAATTTATGTTTAAAAATAATTTGCTTTGGTATTTCTATGAATATCAAGAAAGAAAAAAATAGTTTATTGGAAGACATCAAGAGACTGAAACAAGACAAACAAGCTCTTGAAGTAGACTTGGAAAAAATGAAGAAAGAGAGAGACCACGCCAGAGATCAGGTTGCTTATGTCACAGGTAACACACTGAGTTAAAACAGTTCACCTTTACACTCATAACTGTTGAATCGGAATTTAAGCAATAGCATTTGGACAGTATAATCAAAATGCTATTCCTTGAAATACATGTAATGTTAGAAACTTTTTAAAATTAGAAATAGGTATGTGTATTTGATTGGTTTTATCAGGGATAATGATAAGATCAAAGAAAATCAAGGTCTTTTTTAAATTTGCGGCATTTTATGTTTAGTTGTTTACATCCATCATCCCAGCTAGATTGTGACCTTTCTGAGGGTCTGGTCTGCCTTTTTATCCCCAGGTCTAAAATGTAGGCTCTCAAGTATTTGCCAAAGAACAAAAAAATACTGCACTATATTTGTAGAAAACACAAAGATAAATATGGCATTCTCTACCAGGGAAAACAAAAGAGAAGAATACACACACAAAAAAATACATTAAATATAAAAAAATTTAAATAAGAGTTTCAGGGAGGAGTGCATTTGAGCTGGGTCCTGGCAGAGGGTAAGAATCAGAAGTGAAGACGGAGGCTGCTGTTCTAGTGTTTCATAAGCATGATACTGAGTGCACTTGTGGCCTGGACTGCAGAACATAGGGCCAGAAAGGTCGATCAGAAGTTCTTATTTGCCAAAGTAAAGATATTTCCTCTGCAATATTATCTCAGTATAAGATAAATACAATAAAAGTCACTTACCTGTTTGTAAGGAAATTATACTTATTTTCCTCATCTGTAAGAATAGAATAATAAGAATGAAAGCCATCATGTAAGTTATGTTAAAATCATGTATGGTAAGCACCTACTAATATTTGCTTTTGTTACTTTTTAAATAATTATAGGAATGCTCTGCTTTTATTATATCTTCAATATTTATTTCTCCATGGAAACAAGTTTACTTTTATAATGAAAGTCAGTGGGAAGATAATGTATCAAAAATGTCTACATAGCTAACTTTGCTGAGTTTGAGGATTTAAGATTAAGAATACAGTTTTCTTCTCCCTTTATTAATAAGTTAAACTAGACACTATCTTGCATACATCAGTTGTTTTTGCCTCTTATTTTTTTCATAATGCTTTATTAGGTAGACATTGTTTCTCATTTAAAATCTTTACATTTTCAAAATTACAATGAAGTTATTATTTTAATCCTATAGGTGAGAAATTATATGAAATAAAAATTTTAGAAGAAACGCATAAACAAGAAACCAGTCGTTTGCAGAAAAGAATACAGTGGTATGCAGAAAATCAGGAACTTCTGGATAAAGATGCAGTTCGACTTAAAGAAGCAAATGAAGAAATTGAGAGGCTCAAGCTTGAGGTAATAGATCATTTTAAGAGTGTATTTCTGTAGGTCCACCCTATTGCATTTAACAGTTTTCCTTAGCCTGATGTCATAAATACTCTAAATTCTTGAATTAAATAGCTGGTTGGGTTTGCTTTTAGATGTGTAGGCTAGTTTAGATTATTCTGCAAATAAACCAAGCTCCTTATCACAATCTGTCAACATCCCACATGGTCTGAACTCTGCCTGCTCTCCAGCCTCATCCGAACCACACTTCCACAAACCACACCCACACCACAGCACTCACTGATTCTTGAACATGCCAAGCTCACATCACTTGTTGCCTTGACCTAGATTACTCTGTCCTTGATTTTCCTTAGTGTCTCTCTCCTTGTTCAGTTCACAGCTCAAATTTCTACTCCCCAGAAAGACCTTTTCTGACCACCTTATCGAATGTAGCTGCCAATCTTGCCCTCTCTGACCCTTTCTTCTTCTTCAGTTTTTTTTTATTATTCACAGTAATTAATTAAATATTTTTGAGGTTTTGTTATTAATTTATTAGCTTATCAGCTCTCTCCTTTCACTAGAGCATGAGCACCAAGAAAGCAGGGACCTGGTTTGGCTTATGCGCCTCCACCTCTCCAGCACAGTGCCATGTCTGGGAATTAATAAACGAATGAATGAACTACCATTGTACTTTCCTCCTTCTGTTTCCTGTTGGGTTTTAAAAATGCATCTTTACATGTTTTTACTTATTGATAGGCTGAGAAACTGAAAGCTGAATATGGAAATCCATCTCTTCAGAGGAAGACACATTTAAAAGATAAAGCAGCTGATGCCAAAAGAATTCAGGACCTAGAGCGACAAGTATGTGTTCAGGGTAAATTTTCATAAGGTATATGTAGAGTCTATTGTGTTTTTTCTTGCTTCAGTTTTTATATAATGTAGTAATATAAAACTGCCCCTACTTGATATACGTATTTAAAATATTACTAATAAAAGTAATAAACATTTTACATAATCTATAGTTTATGCATAAAAACTTAGACTTATGTGCCTCATTGGATGGTAGACCTATTGACAAGTTATTTTACATCAGGAAGAGGAAGCAGAATTTAGAAATGCTGGTTATAGAGTTAGGAACATTTTAGTAATGCTGAGAAGTATTACCAGACACCTTGGAAACAGAACATTCAGCACCCTAGAGGGCTGGCAATAATTTTGAGCTCTTACTTAAAATAAAAATACTCATTTTATAGTTAGTGTAACTGGGAGACATTTACAAAAATCATATAGTGACTTTTATTATGATAAAGATTTTTTTCATTAAAGTAGTTGTTTTGTGGGGTGGAATAGTTATTAGTTAACATTTCCCAAATTTCTATAATATAGATTTTTCTATTCATAACTAAATATTAAAATAAGGTATTCCAGCCCTGCTGATGGAGAGCATGAGTGTTGAGTCAAGTAATGACACTTAAATGTATGCTATTATTCCATCACAAACCCCAAACTGTGAGGTCATCACTAAGCTGAATATTATCTCAGTTTTATGAGAAGAAGGAAAACTAAGAAAAAGTTACCTTTGTTACTTTTATAGGCCCTGTTCTTATTTTAAAAGGTATGACTTGGCAGTGTGATTCAGTTCCAGGAAAGGAACCACAAAGGTGATCTAAAGAGCTAGAAATATTTTGAAGTAATTGCTTGGCTCTTTTGCAGTGCTTAAATTTAGATTAGCCATCCAGAATTGTGAGAGAAACAAAACTAAAGAAAATACCTCTCTAATAAATTTATTTTAAAAGAAATAATATAGAACTGAATGTGTGAGAAAAATATTAAGCATGCCTACTAGCAAAATTAAGATGTGAAATGGTGATAAATATTGACCAGAAATAGCTTTACAAGAGTAACCTCTTTTTTTTTTTTTAAATCTTTATTGTTGAAAGTATTACGTATGTCCCTTTTTCCCCCCCATAACCTCCCTTTTTTATTAACACTTTCATCTTCAATTATATAGTTGTATAGTTGGCTGCATGTACATTTTAGATTTTATTAATTCTATTCCCATGAACATTTCTGTCCTAATGTTAAACCTTAATACATATTTTATAATCAAGGTATATTATATAATATATTCAGGCTCATTTTGGAGCCACATATTCTGAAATAGGTTAATTACAGAATAATATATCTCCTTTTTTAAATAGCACATAAGTAAAAATAGAGCTAATTAAATGCATATTATAGTGAAATCAAATTATATGCATTTGTTTATGCTTTTATTTAATAGATATTCCAAAATAAGTGAGAATTTTAAAAAAAAATTTACTTTGTATCACTAGTATTATGATTAAAGAATAAATTAAAAAGCAAAACTAGAGGAGGTACAAATAAAATCTGACTTCCCCCCAAAAAATATAATATACATTTCAAGACATCAAAATCAGATTGAAATGTTTCTTAAAATTGTAAAGGAATGCATTGTAAATATGTTAGAACAAACGTTAGATCTTTTTAATACATTTGGTATATATATATATATATATATATATATATATATATATACACACACACACACACACACACACACACACTTCTATATATATATATATATGGATATATATATATATATATATGGGTATATATATATCCTTCTATGCTTACATCTAATGGAAATAACTAGGTTTTAAATACCAAAGAGGAAGGAAAGCTTTGACAATTTTGTAAACAAATAAGTTATCAATATTTGTATCTGGATATAACCCAATTTATGGTACACCTATGAACATGCAAGCAGTTTTTATGAATGGAAATATCTGCTGTTAACTTTGCAGTTATGTGACCCTTCAATATCTAATCTGAAGAATGTTCAACTTATAAACAGGATGTTGAACACCAGCAACCCTCCTTATCTTAAGGGAGGTAATTTTTGAGACCAGATCAAAATAAAAGAAAGTAATATCAAGGCCTCCCTAGATGGTGGGCACTCAGCTAAATGACCAAAATAAAGGTCATTTGTTCCTTACTTAATTGTATCAATGTAATGAAATTGGTTTTATCATCCCCATTTTGCCAGTGAAGCAGAGATTTTGAGGAGTTGACACAGGTCATAAAGCTAGAGGCACAGTCTTAACAGAAAATGTGCTCTAGCTGCACAGACTGCCTCTTACTAGTAGATGCTATTTATTTATTTGATTGCATACTCAGAGACTAGAAACTGTAAAAGAACTTACTGTTTTAGTATATGTTTTCCAGAGATATCTTAACCATAATATCGTTAACAAAAGAAGGCATACAACATATTAATATATAAAATCAAACTCTAATTTCTGTGGACCTTGGTGTCATTCTCTTCTATAGAAAGACCAAATAATATGTTGTTTTTATAGACCAAATGAACATTCATTTTTGTCATCTAATTCCTCTTTCTAATTAAAGTCACTTTAAAATAGGTTATACTTCCTTTGGAGAAAGTTAGGGTAGGATGGAGATTCTTGCAGGAAGTGGTTTGCTTGTTGCAATAAGTTTTCACACTCATGTGCATATAAATAATATTTCAGTCAATAGACAGCATTCTATCATTAAAAGGAAATCTGTAGAAAAAAGAGGGAAAGGAGCTTTGTCCTCAAAAAGACTGATTATTAGTAGTAAACTAGCCCCAAGATCTGTTTCAAATGAATGTAAGAGGATTTTTGTAAATTCATCAGTAATTAATTAGATATTCTGTAGGATTTTTTTATCAGACATCTAAGGGTGTAAAATTTGAAATTAATGTATGCTTCTGAGCATTCAGTTCAGTCCTGAGATATGATACAAGTATCTCTTTGAAATCTAGACATAATTGATATAACATAATCTATATTAAACTGCTTAATTATATATTTGCAAACTTACATATATACAAAAATATTTTACTAGGTTAAGGAAATGGAAGGAATTCTAAAGAGAAGATATCCTAATTCTTTACCTGCTTTAATATTGGCTGCATCAGCAGCTGGTGATACAGTAGATAGAAACACAGTGGAATTTATGGAAAAAAGAATAAAAAAACTAGAAGCTGACCTGGAGGGCAAAGATGAAGAAGCAAAGAGAAGCCTTCGTACCATGGAACAAGAGTTTCAGAAAATGAAGGTGAGTGCCATAAAGATGGGGCTCAGAGATGGACCATGGGCACTTATGTCTCATCTTAACAAATAGATCTAAACATCCTTTCTCATAAAACCTTTACCTTGAGTGTCAGCTGCAAAAGCAACCTAGATTCATCCTATTTTTTTTGTACCCCTTCAGTAATTAACTTCAAAAGTGAAATAATCAAGCGCAGAATAATCTTTATATGAGCCCCATTCAATGATATTAGAATTAATGTAAATTAAGTCATGAAAAGACAGTATAAAGCATCTCTGATATATATTCAGTATAAAATGTTTTAATTGCTATTCTTGAAAATATTTCCACTGAAATTTGCATGTTCAAAGGCCCATTATTATAGGGGTCATAGGGCACCAGAACTGTTGCCATATCCATCTCCTCACCAGACTGTGAATTTTTTGAAGTCATCAACTGAGTTTCTTTATCTCTAGAATCTGGCCCCGTGCCTGGCGAGCAGTCATAGCAAAATAAATATTCATTGAATGAATGAGCAAACACTATCAGTGCCTCTTTCCACAGAGTAATGTATTGAGGTTATTTCATCATTTATAATAAAAATCTCCAGGATACAAATTTTAACTTAACTTACTCCATAAGAGACTTCTAAATTGCTATTAGAAAGCAATTTACCTGTTTATCCTCAAATAGTATAGAGTTTGTCTATTTGCATAGAGAAGGGAACACAATAATAGCTTTGATTGTATGGTTTAAAATAAGCATTGGGGATACAAAAGCATGTGTAAGTTAATGTTTATGAAGCAACATTAATTGTGAAGTTCTGTCACATACATTGAGACCATATAATGTTATGCCCTTCAAAGATTAGGACTCCAATGCGTTTGACTCAAGGAACATAGAATTGGAGGCATCACAGTGTGTAATGAGTGCCTGTATAAAGGAATTGGCAGGTCCTGGAAGGATACAGGGCTTCAGTAACTAATGAAATATTTAGCAGTGGTTTGACATTACCTGGATTCTTTTCAGATTCAGTATGAACAGAGACTAGAGGAGCAGGAACAGCTACTTGCCCACAAATTGAAGGCAGCATCTCAGAACCAACATGACAACTCTTCCAGGGTTAAAGCATTAGAGAAGGAACTTGACGACATTAAGGCAGCACATCAAATCACTGTAAAAAACCTTGAAGCTGAAATAGACACGTTTAAACAACAGAATGCTGAATTAGAACTCAAGAAAAATAGAGATGATAAAGATTTCCAGTCCATCGAGTTCCAAGTGGAACAGGCTCATGCTAAAGCTAAACTGGCAAGACTCAACGAGGAGCTGGCGGCAAAGGGGAGAGAAATCCAGGACCTTTCGAAAACTGTGGAGAAGCTTCAGAAGGAGAGAAGGATGATGCTATCCAGTCAGAACTCTAAGGGGAGGGAGGAAATGACTGCAAAAAGGGTAAAGAAGGATGTTTCCCACCCAGGTAAAGGAAATGCCAGCTCCTTCCCTGGGACCCTGGATGGCAAGCTTTACCAACCACATACTTTTACCGATTCCCACATTTCCGAGGTTTTACAAGAAAACTGCAGATTGAAAAATGAACTGGAGAAAGTAATTGTGGAGAGGAATGAGTTGAAGATGAAATCTGATATAGCTATGAACCAGTTTGAGAATTCCATGAAAAGGTAAAATGTGCATTTGTTAATATGTGGAGACAAAAAGGTACATTTTTAAATTATGTGTTTCCTCTAGATAGTTACTATACACTGAACTGAATTTTAAGAAATTGTATTACATTGCTAAGCATAGATCTGTTTCATTTTGGAACCAGATTCTGATGAACCTGAATCTGAATCTCCATGTGAACCCACACCATGTCCTGGCTGACCAGTCTTGTCTTCTTTCTGCATGTATTCAAATGGTGTTAGTGGACCTTCTTGCAAATGATTATCATTATTTGTGATTGCCATAAGAAGATTACTGTCAAAAACAGCTGTTAGGAAAAAGGGGTGACATTCTAAGAGGTCAGGCTCCTTTTTTCCAAAACAACTCTTTCAAATTAATCTTATGGACACATCCATTCATCTGATTCTTCCTCAGAATTTCTAAGTACTTTACTATCTTTCCTCTGAAGTTTCCAACATGCTCAGATTTTTTTGCCTGATCACACCAAGTTCTGGTCCCCTTTCTCTGTCGCTCTGTACCAGTTTTCCACAAGTCGCCTCTTGTTTTTCCCCTGGTCTCTCAGTAATGACTTTTCCCAGACCAGTGGGGTTTTCCCCATCCTCGTTGACCTTGACATCGTCCACTGTACTACTCTTGAGTGGTTCCCTCCCTTAACCTCCATGATTTGACTTTTTTTCTGTTCATTTTAATTGATGACTTCTCTTTAATCTACCTCCTCAAAAGTCAGACTTTCTAAGCCTGACTTACTGAATTTCTTTACTGCCTTTTGCTTGTTCATGTTTCAAGTCCTACCTCTTCCACAAAATATTTCCTAGAGATTCCCAGGAAATTGCCTGCCTCTGCCTTTAAGCTCTTATGTAATTTATATACTATGAAAGCACTAATCATAACTCTATCTTGTAGCTCCTTGGGAACTGATATAGGAGTATACTTCTTTTACAACCAATAAACACAATAATAGGTTTGAATGTGAGAGTTAAAATAAGTCTTCATGTTATAAAAATGTCATTTAATGTTGATGAAGCAATATATAAATTATATATTGAATATACAGTTATGCCCTTCAAAGATTAGGATGTCAATACATTTGACTACTCAAGGAACACAGAGTTGGAGGCATCACCGTGTGTAATGAGTACTTGAATTAAGGAAAAGGTAGGTCCTGATAGACTGTAGGAAGAATGAGCATAGGAAACAGAATGAGCACAGATAGTATACCTAATATGTTGAGGTTTATTGATTGATTGCTAGTGACCCCTCATTGAGTCATTGTGGTAAGGATATTGCTTCCAAGTTGAAACTTTTTTCCTATAGTTCCGAGTGTGATAGTATCAATGAAGCTATTTGTAAATAATCACATTCTTTCCTAGAAATAATTTAAAATTTAGGTGTTTTTTTTTCTATAAATTTTTTATACACATTTATAATTTTTGAATATTGTTCATCTGTTTCTCAGACAGCTCTGGGTCTGAGAAGCAAGAAATACCTTCCCTGGCCCTAGATTCAGTACCAGTTTGTCCCTAGATCTATTCTTGTTCATTAAATTATGTTTTTTATTATGAGCACTATAATATGAATGCTTCAGATTTTTATCCTTTTCTTAGGACCCTAATCACATAGTTTCCATTTAAGAGATTTTCATATAATCAAATGAGCAACTGACATGTATTTGTTTGTTTTGGAATTATTTAGTAAATCATTGTTGATGTTTAATAACATATCTGCTTTGATTAAAATCCTGTCATTTTCAAATATTTCCAATAAGAGAGGAAATACTTAGCTATAAGTAATGTATTAGCTCTTTAGTTGTAACTTTACCATTTACTAAACTGCCTCTGAATACATAAATTTTGTCAGAGACAAATGAATAGTCTTTCATACTTAACAATGCAAACTAATTAGGTTCAATTATCCTGTGTCCTGAGAATTACTGTAAAAATAATTTATTCTTACCACATGCAACTAGCCTAAGTCATATGCATGGGCCAGAAACTGGAGAACGTTGCATAGACAAAACATTGGAGTTTTTAAAGGAAACAGTTGTGATTATCCAAATAACAATCTGGTCAAGAAATCTTAGTCATTCTTAAAAGACAAGTCAGACCCCTGCTTTAAATCCAAACAGAACATTTAGAACCTTCAATTTCCTCATGCTGGGTGTAGAGTGGAAGACCTGCCCTGGATGCTAAGGTTCCAATGGCCTGGCTTGAACCACAGGTCTGCATCCTAGATACATTCCTCTCTCCTAAACTCTGTAATTGTGAGCTCGTGGAGTGGTTCTAGGCAATAAGTATTGTGAGTTACCAAGCACTCTGGTCGGCAAACTGCGGCTCGCGAGCCAATTGTGGCTCTTTGGCCCTTTGAGGGTGGCTCTTCCCCAAAATACCACGGCCTGGGCGAGTCTATTTTGAAGAAGTGGCGTTAGAAGTTTAAGTTTTAAAAATTTGGCTCTCAAAAGAAATTTCAATCCTTGTAGTGTTGATATTTGGCCCTTGTTGACTACTGAGTTTGCTGACCTAGCACAATGCAGTGGATATTGTGCCCTCTCTCCCTTTGCTTCTTACACTGCTGTTGTGCTAGCTCTTAATTAAAGGTTGAAGAGCTGCTTTTATGTGTGGTTTTCTTTCATTTGCTTTAAAGGGTCAAGGAAGACACTGCAGCACACATCACCTCTCTCAAAGCATCTCATCAAAGGGAAATTGAGAAACTCCTTTGCCAAAACGCAATAGAAAATTCCTCTTCCAAAGTAGCTGAACTAAATCGTAAAATAGCCACTCAAGAGGTAGGTGACTTTAATAAACTTTCTTAGGCTTTAATGTGATTTTTTTTTTCAGTGCTGTTATCAGAATATTAATTTTGAAATATTTTAACTTCACTTTGTTTTGTTGGTAGAAATGGTATTGTTGGCTTGATTTTGTGTTTATGAGGATGTCATTGCCATATGTTTAACTATTCTAATGTTTTACTACGTTTTTTCAGTTTCTTGATGGAAGTATTTGTGTTATTTCCATTTCTTTGTCTAAAAGTATGAGACTAACATTTATTTCACAGATATTAGGCTTGTGTTATCTTTATTTAGTCAATAGCTCTTTAATAAAAACTATTATTCTAATCAATCACAATGTATAGAGAGAATATTGGCCACTTTCTTCAAAATGCCTTTTTAAAAATCATTACTGATTGTTCCACTGAGAGGAACACTGATAGGTTGCTTCTCACATGTGCACTTGCCCTGATTAATCAGGGATCTAACCTGCAACCTAGGTATGTGTCCTGACCGGAATCAAACCCAATACTTTGTGGTGTATAGTATGGCGCTCCAACAGACTAAGCCACACCGGCCAGAGAAGAATGCTCACACTTTATAGAGTTTTATCTTAAAGGTTTCAGGAGAAAAATACTTGAGATAAAAAAGCCATGTAGGTACATAGTCATTAATTTGTAATATGTGATGTTTTATATTAAATATTGAAACAAACAAAATGATAAATTTATTCAATGAGTTTAATTCAGTGAACTGAATTCCTATGTCAACCTATTTCTATGTTAGAACTTTGTAATTTTAAAATATTAGGTTTTTATTTTTTAGCACAAACATCATTAGTTGGTTTTCTTATATTTTTCAAATAATGTTCAAGGAAGAACTTTATTAACTCAGAACTTCAATCATAATTTTCTAGGTACTTATAAAACATTTCCAAAATCAAGTTAATGAGCTGCAAGATAAACAAGAATCTCTTATGGTTTCTCAAGTTCGAGAAGAAATCCTACAGAAAGAGGTAAGAAATCACAAAAATATTGGCCAAACGTAAGTTTATCTTAGCCATTTCAATCATATTCACATTTCTGCATTAATTTTTTAACTTAAATGTACAAATAGACATAACCTAGAAATACCACAGTCAAGATAATATTTATGGAAAATCTGCTTTTCCCAGCTATTGATATTTTTTGGGTAGGTTTTTAGTAAGTAAAATATTAGTACTTAATGCAGAAATGGCCTTAACCATCTATGACTAATTTGGTCAGCAAATAGGTAAAGTAATCATCACAGTGATGCTAGATCACCAATAATATAACTACAAGAAATAGATTTTTTTCAAAAACTCATCATAACAAGAGTTATCAATTTTTAAGTATTTACTTTAAGTATATATTAGGCACTGTGCTCTTTGTGATTCTTCACCATAACCCTAAAGCTTAGGTACTATTATCCCCATTTTATACATAAAGAAATTGATGCTAAGAAAAATTAAATAACTTTCCCGAGGTAACCAGGCCTGGTCATTGGACAGTGAGGTCATTACCAGTTTTTTCTATAGTACTTAACAGGAAGCATTTTTTATCAATCTTTACTTATGTATCCAGTTACCAACATAGAATAAATTCACCAAAATGCAAGAATTTTATAAAAATAAGTATTCAACTTTTATTATGCCCCTAAAGGTGCATTTAAGTAGATACAAAAGAAATTTTCTATATTTTTTTATTTTGAACTAAATTTCTGCTGATCTTTCTGCAAATCATCAATTAAAGTCTGCATATCTATTTTTGGTGAGGAATTTTAAATATTTTTCACATTTAAAAATATTTTGATTCACCTCTGACTCAATTTGCTTGTATTTTCACCTTTTTAAAACTAATTTAGGAAGTGTGTACGTTTAGTATTATCAATGTTATTAGGTAGTGGGTGTTTCCATGTAAACTGATTGAATTTGTTAATTTTATCTATTTTGATATGTTAATTATTTTGTTTTTTGATATTGGCAAGTTATAATTATGTGATATAAAGAAAATAGAAGTAATTTGTTTCATCAAACCCAATATAAAGATCCTCCATTGAACTCTTCGATGACAAAATGTTACCATTTTCTCTGTGTGCTATAATCAGAAAAAAGAGGTACTGCACTAACTGCAATTCCCATGTGTCTTTCATCTTTGCAACCTAAGACAGCAGCAAGCACAGAAAGTTTATTACTTCGTTATCTGTATTTCTTATGCATACATTTATTTGTGGAATGAATTATAAAATTATGAGATACTGAAGAGAATTACAAATAGGATTACAGGGCGTTGATAAAGAAAGGATCTATATTTACTGAACTTTTTCTGTATTACTTGATCTTAAAGTAATCACTATATATATATATATATATATATATGTGTGTGTGTGTGTGTGTGTGTGTGTGTGTGTGTGTGTGTATATATATATATATATATATATATATATATATATATATATATATACTTTGTAACAAAGCTAAACACTCCAAAGATAAGCATCCAGCTTAATTTTGAATGACATAAACCGGCCTGGCATACGTGGGAGAGAAAGCTGGGCCAAGTATCTGAAGCCTTTTGGATTGTGAGGTCAGTTCAGATCTAGGATGACCCTTTCACCTCCTGGATTAGGGAAGGAAAGCTATTAATTATCCTAACAACTTAAAATATCTTTGTTGACAAGAAACCTCTTCTCTAGTGAAATTTTACACACAAAAAAACTATGTGGTTAATAGTCTTCCTTCTTAAGACTACCTGTTAAAAATGAATTACTTCCTTATCATAGTTTTTCATTTAACTTCATACCTCAATTTTAGATTACAAAACTCTTAGAAGAATTGAGAGAGGCCAAAGAGGACCATACCCCAGAGATGAAACATTTCATGGGCTTAGAAAAGAAAATCAAACAGATGGAAATGAGACATAAACAAAGAGAGCAAGAACTTCAACGGGTAAAGTAGTAAATCACATGTACATATTTGTAGTTCTTCACTTTGAAGTACCTCCAGTTTGCTATAGTTTGTCATCCCTAGCAAAATTTACTTTGTAGTGTTTCCATTATATATTGATCTTATTAATAATAAATATATAGCTTTTCAGAGAAAAATTACTTTAAATCTCAAATACCTGAAGATTGGTTTACCTTATTTGTGAGGAAATAGAGACACAACTTGTATCATGTTCTTATATACCTAGCACTAGTAATATCATTACTATACTTAATCACAAACAGATGAATTAATGGAAATTTAAAAATGGCCAAAGGACATGATGACGTAGTTTGGGCACTAGCCTTGGTACAGATATTTAACTTTGCTTGAACAATGTATTATTCGGTTTGTTCTGACAGCAAAATATCAAACTGGGAGGCTTAAAAAAACAACTAATTTTCTCATAGTTTGGAGGCTAGGATTCCAAGATCGAAGTTACAGCTGATTCATTTTCTAGTGAGGTGAGAGTTCTCATCCTGGCTTGTAGAGGGCCTTTCCTCAGTGTGTGCCCTGCAGGATGGAAGAAGGAAAATAGAGAGAGAGCTCTCTGGTGCCTCTTATAAGGACACTAATCCAGTCATAATCTAATTATGTTTGGGGCCTCACCCTTGGGACCTCATGTAGACTTAACTACCGTAGTTCCTTACCCCAAATACAGCCACACTGTGAGTTAGGGCTTCAACATAAGAAGGGATATGAGGGTGGCACATATTCAATCTAAATCAGTGTAAGTTAAATACTCTTTGCAAATAAAAATCACCACATCCATGCAAGCTTTATGACTGACTTGAGTTCCACAGAAAAACCGTAAGTCTATTTAATCCTATCAAGATGAATGAAATTTCTCATTCTTACTCTTATTTGTGGATTTCTCTTAAAGACACATTGCATACCGAGAAATGATCATCCATAGTAGAGTTAAGGTATCAGTGTATCACCATTTATCCAGAACCCATCTTTATGTGTCACTTTTTAATGCCTGTTATAGAAAATGGTTGTAAATTGTTGATAAATATTAATATGTTAAACATTTACTGTTATAGTTACATACTTTATTATATATAGCCTAATGTCAATTATTTTATAAATGTGATGTTACATATGTATTCATTGAAAAATTAATATATGGTGTCACAAAATTGTATACAGTGTGAATAATTATAAAGGTAGTGTTCATTAAAATACATTTCATTTCCAAAATGGAGCTATTAGCTGTTAAGATGAATAGATTTTTTGGGACAACCTTTATTATTGCAATTCGTTTTCTAATTTTGACTGTTTTGTTTGCTAAAGCAAAAGTGCAGTAGGCTTTTAAAAATATCTTTGATTCTTAGAGAAGGTAATAGATTGCAGTTTCATAGTAAAATGCTAAAATTAAGATGTTATCTAAGTGGTTGTTCTGACTTGAGTTTCCCTCACAAAAACACCAATTAGCTACCAACAATTCATAAACAAGGCAATTGTGAAAACTCAAAACATAGGTGAGTCTGAAGTACTCTTTTGTCCCACAGAGACCAAGAAGCACTGCCTTAAAAGGGTAAGAGGAGCAGCCACACTCTGACAGCCAGCATAGCGTTGCATCAGAGAGTACCCTGCGGCCTACATTTCCTCCAGTGGGGAACAGAGCAAGATGAACATCCAACTTGCCCACCACTGTGGGTTGCTTCCCAGGAGGCCCACTTGGTCTCACCTCATAAAGATTTCAGGGCAGAATCTATGGGGCTCAGCCACTGGAGATCAGATTGTGACTGCAAAGTTCACCTTTTGCCATAGACACACTAAATTTTTAGCTACTGTGCAGAACAATTTTCTCGAGGGGAGGGGGAAAACAAAACAAAAAGTAGCTAGCTGAACAACAACTACACAAAGTAAGCTAAGGCAAAATCTCACCAAAAGCCTCCACCTCCAGCTAGTGACCACAATAAGAGGAAGCTCAAACCCGGATCTTTTCCCTGAGGAGTAAAGAGCATTGGGCACTTTAACTTTTAAGATCTGCACCTGAGAGATGAACCTCCAGAACTTAGCTTTGTAAGGCCATGGGGCTTGTGTCCCTGAGACCCAGGAGGCTCTAGCAAACCAGCAGCCCTAAAGGCCAAGTGCATACACACTCCAGGGCTCAATGCAGAGGCAGCACCGGGCTCTCTGTGAAAGAGCTCTGCTTATCTAGGCACTGGCCTGGGGGCAGGCATCTAATGCAACACACACCTCGGAGCTACTGAACTACTGTCCAGGGACAAGGGTGGTGAGAGCTATCTTTACACTCTTCCTCTTGCCTTGCTACAACTTGCCAATATCTTCCAGAAAGGAGCTTGTACCCTCATTTGGCACCTCAATTTTTGTGGCTGCCACCTAAAAATATATTGCCTTGTTGGCCCCCTGGACAGTATATATTTGCATACTTTAATAGATGCTGCCTGAGGGTCTGGCTTCCAGTCTACCTGAATCTAGGTGCTGAGATCCTCCCCTTTGAGACACTGACATAGGTACTCCTAACTAATATAACTCAATACCAAAAGAAATAATAAATATGCGATTAAAAATGGGTAAAGGGTCTGAATAGACATTTTCCAAAGAAAATATTTAAATGGTCAACAGGGTACATGAAAAAGTGCTTTGTGTCAGCTTGCAGGTGAAGGTGGTAAGAAGAGGGAAATTTAGTATCTAATTCTAGGGAGTTTTTACAGTATTTTTATTTTTTGAACTGTGAATAAGAATACCATTTAAAGCATCAGAAATTATATCCAAAAAGCTGTTCCTCTTCATAACAACCCTTGAATGCAATCAAGACAGTTTTCATATACTGTACAACTCATGTCATTGCAATCATTCTAGAATTAGAAATAGTGATAAAAGCATACATGTAGCATTTACCATGTGCCAGGCTTCTTGGTTATAAGCACTTGCTCCATGTTAACTCATTTAATTCTGCCAACACAAATAGGAGGTAGATTTTATTTATATATATATTGTATATGTGTATGTGCGTGTGTGTGTGTGTGTGTATATACACACACATACACATATACAATATATACACCCCTATTTAATGGATGGGGAAATTGAAGCACAGATAAGTAAAAAAAAAAAAAAGGCAAAAAACCAATTTGGTCAAGGTTCACACACAGCTTGTGGGAGGCAGCCTGGCCTCAGAGTCCCTGCTACTATCACTAGACTGCCTTGCTTTTGGGGGCCAATGATGAAGTGAGGGTACCCTGTCAAGTACCTTAAGAAAATCATTAGGCACAAGCATTACAAACCATAGAAAGCTAGACATACAAAAACCAGTTAGGGCAACAAAACCAATAATGGTTCTAAATGTTAAACATGCTAAACATCTTCAGTATAATTTTTATCTATAACCCTGCCTTGCTGACACAGTCACACCCGATGAGTGGGGCTCCCCACCTCTCCCCTAGGCCGCAGCTTTACTGTTGTCCATATTGTCCCACGTCAGCTCTTTGAAATTGTTAAATGTCCTCCCTCCCCCCCCCCCACCGTGAACTCCAACTCTGATATGGAATTTTTTTTTTAATTTACAGATAATACAGCAGACACACCAAGTAGTAGAAACTGAGCAAAACAAAGAGGTTGAGAAATGGAAAAGACTCGCACAGCTGAAGAACCGTGAGCTGGACAAGTTCCGCACAGAATTGGACTCGATCTTGGATGTCCTGCGAGAGCTGCAGCGGCAGGGGGTGGTGGTGCCCGGCGCCCTAGCGGAGGAAGTGAGCGCGCCACAGTTTTAACCCGGATGCCTGTTTCCCTCCCGGGGGCCTGCTGCGTGGTGGCGGGGATCCTGCCTCGTCAGAGAAGGCTGATGAAAACCAGTGTTCCAGGATGTCCCCAGAAAACCGCACAAAAGCAACATTTCAAAATAAACTGCTCTTAACCAATAAGAAAAAAGAAAAAAGAAAAAAAAGCATTGTAGCATATTTTACTGAAAATCTTTAACCAGTCACGTTTTAAATAATTTACGGACAAATCTCTATGACGAGATTAGAATTAGTGAATTTCATAGTAAAAGTTCTCACTTTTTCTAGATGTGAAAAGAAAAGGAAATTGCACCTACTCTGCCGTTGTAAGTGCCAGAAAAGCAGCTCCTCTTATGGACACGCAGAGAGGTGTGAGCACAGTGGCTGCACAACCACATCGCCAGTCACCGAGCAGGAGACTCTCCACAATGACTTGAACAAGAATTATAATTTCTGTACAGTGGATCGTGAACTACCTGTGTCACCCAGATTTTCACTCCCACCTCTACGTGCCTCATTTTTTTCACCTGCTATAAGTGCAAAATATACAAGTAATAAGGGGGTTTGGTTTATTGTTTTATGCTACTTGTTTTAAATGCCACTTCATTTTTTGTAACTTCTTTGAGTTGTAGACTGAACATAACATTTTTACTTTCTCTATTTAAAAGGTAATATAGGTTTATTAGGAAAAACTAAAAGCATGCACAAAAGCAGCCATATTCTTATTTTACTTTGCAATTCCCATTTCCAAAAGCAGATATTGAGTATATAAGATTCCAGTCAATTAAAGCCATAGCCACTCTGTTTTAAGATGTTCCAGCCCAGTACTGTCCAACGGAAATATAATTAATGTGAGCCACATATTTTATTTTATTATATTTTAAATGTAATTAATTTTGGAAATTTATATTCAAAATGTGAATATAAAAGTTGAGTTTTTATGTTATTTTTTTCATACTAAATCTCCAAATTCTGGTATATCTTACATTTATAAACACATCTCACCTTGGACTACCCACATTCCAAGTGCTCAACCACAGGCTAATAAATGCAGTTCTAGAATAATAATTACAATAATATAACAATGTGAAGCACTGTTATAAAGGATAGGTGAAATAGGTCTTGGTGGAATTATTGATAGCAAATGTGAAATATGGAAATTAATAATAAATGCAATTAATGTCAATGTTCAGCATTTTTTAATGTCCTTTTCCTAAGAGGGTACAAAAAGCATTATAACTTGTTATTTTTTTATGTGAAAGAATCTTAATTTAAGTTATAAACTATTTTGGTTATTATTTGCTCTGTGTGTGTTTTATCTGCAAACTTATTAATTTATTGCTACACCCATTTCTCACTTTGTCTTTTTGACTATTCATGGGATGTTCGTTCCAGGCACAAACATGACTGATTATGAAACACAAGAAGTGCAGCATCGAATAGATTACAGCAAAAGTGCATCCTATTTTGATGAGGATTTTATATTCTATTTTGGAATAAGCTGTGCACATGTCAGATCTTCAGTTCTGTTTACAGATTAAGGATCCATAAATACTTTCAGAACTTTTAGTTACAACAAAACCAACAAGAACCATATTCCATTCCTTAGTCTAACGGTCCAGGATGAGAACATGGAAGATAGACAACTTTAGACACTTTTATGGAGATTTAAGCTCCAGGAAATATCAGTCCTCTCCAACCAGTTCCACCTCCTCACAATGTCAAAAGGCATCCACACGCCTCCCTTGGGAACCTCATCAGAACACATAGCTTGCCACTGAACACACTTGTGCAGAGGGATTTCTGAGTGAGCCCATGGCATTCTACAACTGCTGGCTACCCTGGGAAATCTGGGCTTTTGTATTAAGGTCTCATTCCATATTTCAAAAATCCTGAATTTGTGACAAAATGTCTATGTGAAAGCAGTCCCTTTCCCACCCATACTTGTGAGGACTCCAGGTAGTCCCAGATCTGCATGCACATGAAATAAGAGGTAACCTTTCTCAGAATAAGGTTTTTTCCTATTTGTAGTTAAGACAGCCTTCCTGTTTCAAAGGTGAAAAGTGTGAAGTTTGAATGTTTTCAATATTTCCAAGTTATGGGTAATCCTATTGTAGTATTTGAACCATTTATGGCCTTCAGTTTCTATAAGAGTCTAATAAGCACATGTAGAAGATGTTTTTTTTAAAAAATCACATGTATTTTTTAAAATATATTTTTATTGATTTCAGAGAAGAGAAACATCAATGATGAAAGAATCATTGATCAGCTGCCTCCTGCATGCCCCCTACAGGGGATCATGCCTGCCGCAACCTGTGCATGTGCCCTTGACTAGAATGGAACCTGGGACCCTTCAGTAGCAGGCCGACACTCTTATCCACTGAGCCAAACCAGCCAGGGCCACGTGTTTTTTCTCAATTGTCCAGCTTGGTAAGAGTAGACCTAGTGTTAATGAACCATTTCCTCCCTCTAGTTTAAACCATAGATCCATTTTTCTCTCTCCAGGTTTGCTGAAAGTTTCAATCACAATCATCTAGAGTACAAACGGGAAGATATTCTTTCCCACCTACTACTTTATAAGACTGTGTAAGTAACAGGGCAGCATCAATAAAAGGAAATCTCCAGAGGAGGAAGAGAAACACCAAGTTTCATTAGAATAAAATGAGTTGTTAGTAAATTATAGAACAAGAAATGGACTAGACTTTATGGAGGAGAAGACAAAAACAATAGGACAGTTGTGTTCCATCATTGGAACACAAAAGTGACGAGGCCAGAGCCACCGGGAATTTGGCCTGCTCTGCACTTGAGCCACTCCAGGTCGCCTGCTGATGGGTCTTCCTACCTCAGGGTATTTATATCACAGTGAAGAAGTTCTGAATCAGACAACATGGTCTGTGTAACTCAGAGAAAAGTCTGGAAGGGACTTGGGGAAGGATTTGTGAGGAAGGTAAAAGTAAAATGAGGGAAAGAATATTTATAAAAGGGTGAAAGTGAGCCTGCTCAGTAGAAAAGACAGTGAAATGAAGCAGCCTTTATTTTTCCTCCCACCAGCTCCAGGCAGGCAGTGTAAATAACCACACAGGTGCATGCCCTTGTCTTCTTACCGGTTTTGCTCATTATGGCCACAGGCAAGGAGCCTGAGAACAGCCAGGTGCTTACTCCTCTGCCCCGGGACCAGAGCCCTCACAGCAGCCCAGTCCCTCACACATAGGAGGGTAGTAAACAAATTGCCATCTTTTGTCCCTTCACCTCCATCTACATATACCCCGGAGACCATAGCTACTCCCATATTCATGGCACAACTCTGCTTCCGGAAGGATGGCAGGATAACGTTGGGTCTGCCTCTCGGCCTGTCCTCTTCTCAGGGCCAGCCCCTAGTCCCAATTCCTGCCCGGATCACTCACTGTTCTCATAAAAGTCAGCATGTTTACCGAAACCGGTTTGGCTCAGTGGATAGAGCGTCGGCCTGTGGACTGAAAGGTCCCAGGTTCGATTCCAGTCAAGGGCATGTACCTTGGTTGCGGGCACATCCCCAGTAGGGGGTGTGCAAGAGGCAGCTGATCGATGATTCTCTCTCATCGATGTTTCTAACTCTCTATCTCCTTTCCTCTCTGTACAAAATAAATTAAAAAAAAAAAAGTCAGCATGTTTGAAACCAGCTAATGTATCTCCCTGAAATGAGCTGCCCACTCCCCTGGGTTTCAACATTGTTTAGTCGGTCCCTAACTTTGAGGCGGCCTTGACCTCCTTAGTGAATTCAGTGTGCTCTGACAAATTGCCATAGATGAAAACAACAAACATTTCTCACGGTTCTGGAGGCTGGGAAGTCCAAGGTGAAGAGTCTGGGTGAGGGTTAGCTTCCTGGTTTGAAGATGGCTCTCTCTCCTGAATCTTTACGTGGAGGAAAACAGCAAGCCCTTCTGAGAATCCCACAAAGTCACTAATCCCATTCGTATGAGCTTCACCCTCCCGACCTCATAATCCTGACCACCTTCCCAAAACCCCAATCCAAGTACGGGTTTCACTGTGAATTTTGAGGAGGCGCAAACCTTCAGACCACACGTTAGCTAACTCTCCCCAGCATGGAATCAAACCTGTAGCCAATTCCTTCAAAATAACGCATCTCTGTCCACTGAAACCCAGTCGCCATTTTACTGCTTGCTTTTTTGGTAGAGGTTTACTTGCTTCCTCTACCCAATGCTCTTCTCATTCCAAACAGTCAGCAAAACAGCACTGCCAGGTAGTTCTTCCTAAAACTCTAAACCACCACCCATTTCACCTGCTGTAAATAACAGAATTTTAACCTTAGCCTTCAAGGTACCTCTCCGTCTAATCCCAGCCTTTCCTCTCCACACCCCAAGACCTCTCATCTAAACAAACCCTCCGGCCGTTTTCTATCGATATTACTGCTATAACAAAGCACCACAACCTTCACAGCTTAACACAGCATGGGTATGTTAACTTACGGTTCTGTAGGTCGGAGATCTGATACAGCTCTCATTGGGCTGAAATCAGGGAGTCCGCAGGAGGCTCCGGGACAGAATGTTTCTGTCCTTTTCCAGCTCCTAGAGGGCACCCACATTCCTCGGCGGTTCCTCCACCTTCACAGCCAGCGCCTTTCATTGCTCTGCGCGCTCCCGCAGGCCCCATCTCCCTCTGACTCTCAATTCAGCTGGGAAAGGTTCTCTGCTTTTAAAGACTCACGGGATCAGTTAGATTGGGCCCACCTGGGTAATGCAGGCCTCTTCCCAACTCAGGCGCCTTAACTTAACCACATCTGCAAAGCCCCTTTCGCCATGAACAGTAATATTTTCACAGGTGGCTACCTTGGGTGGGTGGGGGAGGGGGAATTCTGCCTTTCACATTCCCCTCATTCAAACCAAACTACTAATCTCCAACCATGCCATCTACACTGTCACCTCTGCTGTATTCTCAAGCTCACATTGAACCAAATCACTCCCACCACTTCCTCTGTCCACCACACCAGGTTTTCATGATCATATTCTTCTCTGAATGGAACATATTTTCTGCATCTTATGTCTAATTATTGTTCTTCGTTTACACATGCACACACACGCACACTCTCACACACACATTCCCTGTCCATCTCTTTATTTTCCTAATGCCTAGAGGCATCCATTCCATAATGACATTGACATTGACAATGATGGCACAGGCCTCTCACACTCTTATAAAGAAGGAATCATTGCTACACTGCCACAGAAATGGGCTTATAACTGCTACAGTGTTTATCTTTTTATTTTATATTGCTATAATTAAGACTTTTTAGGCTATGGATTTTTTAAATAATGTCTTTAATTTTTCAATTACAGTTGACATACAATATTATATTAGTATCAGCTGTGATTAGTATCATAGTGATTGACAAGTACTTAACTTATAAGTCTACTACCTTTCTGACATTATACATAGTTTTTTAAGATTTTAATGTGAATTTTATTTAACCACTAATGAAGATTCTAGTTTAGGACAAAATCTAAGAAGATTTCTACCTCCTAACCAATTGTCTACTAGCCCTTAAACACAGAATGCTTTAATAAAGATGCTTAAATAATGCTTTAATTTTAATGTGAATTTTCTTTAACCACTAATGAAGATTCTAGTTTAGGACAAAATCTAAGAAGATTTCTACCTTCTAACCAATTGTCTACTAGCCCTTAAACACAGGATGCTTTAATAAAGATCAGAGCTGTGTTACACAGATACACAGGATCCGTACAATCTTAGAGGGATGTAATTACTGAGGAAGAAAAACAAAATCCACTCATAAGTGCCTTAAACCTCAAACTGCTCACAGGAGAGATCATTACCCACAGTGAGTGCCACACTGACACAGCGCCTGAGTGTGATGAGAAAGCTGATTTTCCTACTCAGAGTTATGTTGCTAATTTGTTGGATGATAAAACAGTTTTCCCATTGTATTTGTTCCTACTGAGTAAACATACTCCTTGTTGCCAGATCAATGGGCTGAATTTCTCCCATAAGAAGGACATGATTAGCCTGGCCGGTGTGGCTCAGTGATTGAGCATCAATCTATGAACCAGAAGGTCATGACTCCATTCCCAATCAGAGCACATGCTCTGGTTGCAGACTCAATCCCCAATGAGAGGTGAGCAGGAGGCAGCAGATCAATTATTTTCTCTGAAATCAAACACACACACACATAAAGAGAGAAAGAGAGAGAGAGAGAGAGAGAGAGAGAGAGAGAGAGAGAGAGAGAAAGAGAGAGAGAGAGAGAGAGAGAGGGAGGACATGATGATACTCCATGCAAAAATTTTTCCTGAGAATAATAGGCTTTTTAAAGGCAAGACTACAACTGCCATTGAGCATTGAGGGCTAATATAGGGCTGGAAGGAACCAATGGAAATACAGCAGGTCTGGCTTGAGGTACTACTACTGCCCTGGTAACCAAAGAGATCATGATAGCTTTAAAGATATGACATTCTCCCAAGAGCTCAATGTTGAGGGAGTATCTGAATAATAAATAGACTGACACAGCTGCATATAATTATCACAAGTCAATGAGAGTGTTTTGATGTGTGGAAAATAATTATCCCATTATTCTTTGAAGGTACAGTAAGAGCAATAGAAATAAAGGTTGAGAGATCTTGGAGATAACAAAAAATAAAATAAATCATTCTAGCCGAGACCGATTTGGCTCAATGGATAGAGCGTTGGCTTGGGGACTAAAGGGACCCGGGTTCGATTCCGGTCAATGGCATGTACCTTGGTTGCGGGCACATCCCCAGTGGGTGGTGTGCAAAAGGCAGCTGATCAATGACTCTCTCTCATTGATGTTTCTAGCTCTCTGTCTCTCTCCCTTCCTCTCTGTACAAAATCAATAAAATATATTTAAAAAAATAATAAAAATAAATAAATCATTCTAAATCTGCCGGGCTCCTTAACAATATGCAGGAAATGAACTAGATGTCTTCTGTAGCCCTCTCTAAATGCAAGGCTCACTCCTGCAAAACATAAAGCGAGGTTTTTTAGCACACAGAGGGAACAAGTCAAGTTTTCTGATCTTGGATGGTTTACGGTATGGCAGGAAAGATGAGACAAATACATAGAACCAACTGTGAATAAATGCAATAGGAGTGTTATGAAGTGTGAATGGAGCACAGGAGAAAGAAAAATGTCCAGTGTAACCAATCCGGGGGCCGTCAGGAGGGGGAGGCCTGCTGGTCAAAGACAGAGACATAAAGGAGAAGCAGAGGTCACAGTGAGAGGCACCGGGAGCCGGGAAGTTGAGCGGCCTCCAAGAGCTGGAAACGGCAAGGAGATGGATTCTTCACTGGATCCTCAGGGGGAACACAGTCCTGGCCACACCGTGACTTGAGCCCACAAAGACTGCTTTTGGAGTCCACATCCCAGAACTCTTAAGAGAATAAATCTGTGTTTCTTTAAGCCCCACAGTGATATCTTCTGTTCAAACAGCAATGGGAAATGAATTCAGGAACCAACAGGAGCATGAGGCACTGCTGCCTGTGGGCTCTAAGGAAATCCGTTGTTTCCGACTCAGGAGTCTGTGTCTTGTGTCCTCCATGCATCGAGCCAGGCTGTTGTCAGCCAAGGTGGGGCAAGACCTAGACCCTTCCCAGTCCTTGGCATTTAGTTCACAAAAAGGATGGTCGTCATGGGTATTTTTCCAACTTTTAAATATTCTTCAGTCTTTTAATAAATCTACTTCTAAATCAAATACCATTTGAAGAGCTTTTACTCTTAATAAAAAAATAGTTTAATTTGGTTAACTAAATTATGAGAAATATTCATATTAGAAATTAATAAAATCAGCATTCTTTGCTACTCTTGCTCTCTTTCCTGAAAATATTCATCAAAAACAGCAGGTCTCTATTTGCAAGAATGTGTTATAGCAGCTTTAATTACAAAAAAATATTTCACTTTTTGTTCTGCTTGTTAGCATTAGAGTTTCAAAGAATAATATTTTCCTCAAAAGACATTATGGGAAAGGGATTTCTTTTGATGGAACAATTCCTAAATGAAAGCTGATGTGACTTGGACTAGTAGGCTCCTAGAGATAATAGATGTTAGGAGTCATTACAAACAAGGAATAGTTTTGCAAAGGAAATAAAAAACACTGGATGTGTAAAAACAAAGGACCAGAGAAAATTTCTGTGCAATCAAACATATTTATTTTTTAACTTAAGCAAGACAAGTGGTGAACAAATCCATAATGAATATGTCCCCCAGAGATTAGCAGTTGGCCATGCATGGAACCTGGAAATATAAAACCAAATTATTTCTGATACCAGGGGCATGTTTAAATGTGTTGTACCAGCCCAGTGGTCGGCAAACTCATTAGTCCACAGAGCCAAATAGCAACAATGCAACGATGGAAATTGCTTTTGAGAGCCACATTTTTTAAACTTAAACTTCTTCTAATACCACGTCTTCAAAATATACTCACCCGGGCCCTGGTATTTTGGGGAAGAGCCACGCTCAAAGGGCCAAAGAGCCTAATGTGGCTTATGAGCCTTATGTGAGCCTCAGTTTGCCGACCACGGTACCAGGCCAACCTGAACATCTATTAGTGAGGTATTTACAACCCATTCACCATCTTAACTCGAAGCCACACACTAGCCAGAGGACCATCACCGACACATTTGCCAAGGAGACTGCATGGCACGTGGCACTTCCCCTGTTCAGTGGCCAAGGGGGCCACTGTGTGACCAGACAGGACAGACCAACACAGAGACACACACACATCGCCTCCCTCACTCAGGTGATGACATCGCCTACAGTTCTTGGGGACTGGATACTCATTCTAGGATAGGAGGGCCAGGGCTGTCCCATGGTTTGAGCATGGGTGGACAGAGGTCCTCAGAAAAGCTGTTTTGGCACAGCCAGCAGAAACGTTGTCTGCAGTGATGTGTGAGACGAGTGTCCTGAAATCCTGATGGGCGTTTGGACCCCGATGAAAGCAAAGCTGAGCTCAGTGAAGGGCTGAGTGCAGGTGCAGACATTTGCAGGGGTGGGGGTCCTACACTCAGAAATAGGACTCAGTGCCCTAGTGTAAGCGGCTTTATGGATAGCCCTGCATCGTCTGCATGCACGGTCAGAAAGTCACAAAATATTGGAGCCGGTGGGGATTATCTATTCCAGACTCCCCACATGACAGGAAAATGATCGGCAGCCCAGAGGGAGAGCAATTGCTAAAGGTAGAGAATGGCTGGGGCAGGGCCAGCTTGGAACACAAAGATAACCCTCACTCAAGAGAGCTGATGTCCAGTATACGGCCAAATTTCTCGGCAATAAGGAAGGTGAGAAGGTTACTTTATTCCCCGCAGAGCCTCATATGTCTTTAAAGGCATAAAAACTCAGCTTAATCAGCTCCCTTCTGAGGGGCTCTCTTCTCTTTTTCTTTTTGTCTCCGTTTCTCTCTCTCTCTCTCTCTCTCTCTCTCTCTCTCTCTCTCTCTCTCTCTCTCTCTCTCTCTCTCTCTTTCTCGCACACACACACACACACACACACACACACACACACACGCCATTTTGGTAAATGAAGATTTCTTGCTATACAAACACTCCCCACATCTTCAGGAAGACATATTACAGAGCATGTTTCTCAATCCAGGTCTCTGTGTGAGGTCTGGGAAACTGGCTTATTTTCCAGAACAACAGGTGGTTCTGAAATCAGAAGATCGTCATCCCCAAAGGAGGAGTTCTGGTCCGTGTTCACAAAGTTGGGGATGTCAAATTTCATGAGCCTGTTCAGCTCCTCCTCTGGCCGCCCACTGCTTCTGGTGACTTCCCGCAGCTGCACGTCGCTGTCCAGGGCCGTGGTCTGCTGGCCAGCTCTGGCCTTCTCCAGGTGCTCCACCTCGTTGATGTAGCAGTGAAACAGAGACCGGGACTCTTCATTGCCCTTATCTGGCTCCAGCGGCCTCCCAAAGTCTGACACAAAGCTGTTCATTCTGAATCTCTTCTCTGAAGTCTCTGCATTGCTACAGAGAAAAAGGAAGGAAGCATTGCTTACACGCTGCCTCATTCTCCTGCTGACTCGTGGTTTGGGGCATGAAGGGCAGGCCGGCGTATTTGTGCTGAGTGCAAGTCCCTATACAGAGCATGCAGACAAACATCAGAACTGAGAGACGTCACTTCTGAACATGCATAGGCAAACCCAAGGCAAAGGCTCCAACATGAGGGCCCTGGACCTTCCTGCAAAGAGACATCCTATGGAGGAATCATCGAATTTTCAGTGGGACTCTCAGATCACCTGCATCAGGATTACTTCAAGCGCTTCTTAAAATGCAGAGTCCTGAGTCGTACCCATCAGAATCTCCAGAGGCAGGGCCCGCTAATCTGTATTTTCATAGAATCTTCCAGGATCACTGCTCTTGGTCAGCTCTAGAACCACTGCCTGCATCATACTGCCTGAACGAAAGACAATATTATCTCACAGAGGTGAGTTTCTTATTTGTCAGTGCTGTTTGTATCCATTTATTTCATTTGACTCTCAAAGCTGATCAGCACAGCCTGGCCGGCATGGCTCAGTTGTTGACATCGACTGATAATCTATGAACTGGGAGGTCACAGTTCAATTCCCCATCAGGGCATATGCCTGGGTTGCAGGATCAATCCCCAGTAGCAAGTGTGCAGAAGACACTGATGGGTGATTCTCTCTCATCACTGATGTTCTACCTCTCTCCCTTCCTCTCTGAAACCAATATATATAAGTGACCAGCATAGTGACTTAGAGCAAGAATTACTATACCAATTTTTCAAACACAAAAGCTAAGGCAGGGAACAGACTACCCACTAGAGTCTCACAGCCAGCCAGTGATAGGAACAGGAATAAAACCCAGGTTTCCACTTCCTTATTCCATTTAGTGTGAAACAAATGAGCAACTTAATGGCAATAAGCCAATGAATAAAATAGCTCTCAATTAGTCCTACAAGGACATTAAATATTCAATAGGTTGTCCTTTTATTCCTCCTTTCTTTCCTTCACCGATAACCTAACGGATTTTTATGGGTAAATTGAATACCCTGATATTCCATGGACTTTCACTCCTTCTTCCCAGATGTATACAAAACTTGTTTACACACAAGCAACTCCTGAAGGGCAAGAATCATGTCTGAACATGTTTTCAAATCCAAACAGAACCTATCAAAAACTAGGCTGTGTTCAATGAGTGTATAACTTTCTCCATTTCAGTTAACTCTCTTCCTATCCATTCCATCACTCATGATAAAGCGCTGAGGACCAAATTCCCACGGGGTGGGAGGAACAGAGATTCCATGTACAGGTCTGGAAAATATGATCATAGACACAAACCTCCAAATTACCAAGAACCACCTGGATTTCAGAGATTGGTAATCCTAGAAGCTTTGTAAGCCAGCCAATTGAGGGACTTTTCTATCAGATTGTATGGGTTGCATCAAACAAGGAATTTCTCTCAGAAACTTGAGCTTTTCCTTGTAGCAAAAAGCCCATTAACAAATCTCATTGTCTGCCCAGCAAATGTGACCTGAAGACCATTGATTTACACAAGAGTAAATCATTAAACATTCAGTAGGTCCTATATTCAAAAAAAAAAATTTTTTAAAGATGTCTTTAGAGAGAGGCTGAATGACCTCTGCTCTAATGCAAATGTAAGTGGTCTTGTCTTTCAGAGGTGATCTTCCTCCTCTGTCTTCACTCGGTTTTAAAAGATGTTTGAGAACAACGATGAGTATGCCAGCAACATGTGACCTAATAAGCTAAAACACTGCCTGGCAAAAAGAAGGGCTTAACATGCTTGAAAAGGCGTGATTAAGATTGCTGGGGCCCACACTCTTCTCTAATTGCAGGATTAAGACGCTATGAAGAACAGCTTCCACCCACCCTGGGCAGCAGCCGAGTGGGAAAGCAGACCCACGAACCCAGCAGTGTGCAGCATAACGCAGACCACATCGGGTCCATAAGCACCCTATTGAAGAACAAAGGCACAGGAGTACAAGAGTTTCATTCAGGCCTCTGAGATGCCTTCCCTGCCCCTCTTCCCTCCCCCTAAGCTTTCCCCTGAAGTTCTCTTGGTCTGAGAACAGTGGGACTTATCTGCTTCTCCTTCTCTGAGAACAAGGGAAAAGTTCATCTTTGTACTCTCAGACTCTGGTAAACATTAAATATTCAGTAGGTTGTCTTTCTAGTCTTCTTTTCTTTCACTGACTGATAAACTAAAGGACTTATATGTGGAAACCTATGATCATGAACCCATCTTGCTTCAAGGTAGTTTCTATTCATCCTACCATTGGGTAAAATTTACACACAGAAATCCATAGATCTTAAGTATAAAATTCAACATATTTTTATTAATTTATACAACCATGTAACCACCATCCTCAATCAAGATACAGAATATTTCCTTTTTCCTAGGAAGTATCCTTTCATTCATTTTCCATTCCCTTTGGGTAACACTGCTCTGATCTCCATTTCCATTGGTTAGCTTTGCCTGTTCTTGAACTTCCAGGTCATTCCACTTCCCATAGGCAATCTGTCTTGAAATTTTCTTACCACAGATTAGTGAAACCTGTTCTTGAAATGGAATCACACAATATTCAGCCTTTTGTGTCTGCATTCCTGTGCTCAGCATGTTGAGATTCTCTGAGATTCATCCACATTGTTACATTGACCCATGTAACAATAATTTGTTTTTTTTCTAGCTCAGTATAATCCCACTGTATAAATACTACAATTCATTTATTTATTATCTTTTTAAAGATTATTTGGGTTGTTTCTGGTTTGTGAGTAAAACTGCAATGAACATTCTTGAAAAGTCCCTTTGTACACCTGTTTTTTAGTGCTCTTGAGTACAAGCCTAAGAGTAGAATTACTAGGTCATATGGTAGATCTATGTTTCACTTCATAAGCAACCACAAAGTTTTCCAAAGTGGTCATGCCATTTTCCACCCTCACCACAGTGTATGAGATTAGAGTTTCAGAGGGCCGCCTGAGAAGGCACATGGACATTCTTTAAATTGTCAGCTGAGCCCGAGGCACTGGCAGAGTAACCTTTGTCCAGGTGTCAGCAGGGGCGAGTCTAGAAATGTAAATCCAGTAATGCTAGGGCCTAGTTAAGAATGCAAATAAGCTCCTTTGACCCTATAAATAAACCTGCTGCGTGGCTCAGTCGCTTGCTGCCTCTCCATCAGAGAGATGGCGCCCACCTAGCGCCCAGCTTGATGAATCTATTTCTGCCTCCTGGTCTCTTTCTTTCGTAATCCCAGCTCCTCCACTCAGGAACCTGACTGTTTCCTTCTCCGTGATGGAGATGGATGCGGAAAACAGAGAAACAGCCCCTCCCACCCCCCCACAAGAGTTGTTCCTCATTCTTGTCAGCATTCAGTGTTGTCAGTCTTTTTAATGTTAGCAGTTCTCATGGGAATGAAATGGTATCTCACTGTTTAATTTCTTTTGAGAAGTGTCTGTGTGAGTCCTTTGCCCATTTTAAAAGTTGTGTTGTTTTTTGTTTTTGTTTTTACTTGTAGAAGGCTGGTAATATGTTCTGAATACAGGGCCTTTGCCAGATATGTCTCATAAACACTCTTCCTTGAGTTTTGTAATATATTCTGAATAAGGTTTTTTGGTAGATACATGTGTTAAAACATTTTCTCTTGATCTGTGACTTGTATTTCATTTCCTGAAAGATGTCTTTTAATGAGCAGACACTTTAAATTTCAGTTAAGTTCAATTTATTAACTTTTTTCTTTATGTTTATTGCCTTTTATATCATCTCTATAAAATAACTGCCAAATCTCAAATCACAAAGATATTCTCTTATGCCTTCTTTTAGAATCATGCTAGTTCTAGGCGCCACTAGCCACGGGTGGCTATTTAAATTTGAATTAAGAAAAATATAAAACTTGATTTCTCAGTCAACTTACTTACATATCAGCTGCTCAATTGTCACATGTGACAAGTGGCTAACAATTGAGCAGCACAGAGAACATTTCCAATCTCACAGAAAGTTCTCTTGAACAGAGCTGTTCTCGGAAAGGGGTCAAGGTTCATTCTTTTCCTTATGTTTATTTCATTGTTCCAACACTGTCGTCAAAAAGATTTTCCCTTCAGTTAATAGAAAATTCATTATGGTATGTCTATATACTAGTAACAAGCAATAAGAAAATGAAAAAATTAATTCCACTCGTAATAGCATCCAAAATACAATATGTAGGAATAAGTTTAACAAAGAACATGTAAGGCCTGTAAAACTGAACATTTCAAAGCACTGCAAAGGGAATGAAAGGAGATTGGGAGACTTCAGGTGGAAAGTCTTCTAACCATATAATGACAGACATAAAGTAATAGAGCTTCTTCCTCCCAAGGGCCAGAAGCCCTTCTGTTTTTGTTTACTAATGTTCGTTCTTCAGTGCCTTCCAACAGCCATTCTTTCTATTTTGTCCACATTTTATCATTGTTGTGTGCGAGGTTATTCTGAAATGAGCAAATCTGCCTTACTGGAATCTGCCTTACTCCTCTGGGCCAATGTCAGTCATGTATGGCGCCACCTCCTGCAAGAAACCTCCCCTGACTCCTCCCATCTGAGTTAGGTTGTTCGCCTGGAGGGCTGGTGCTTCTCTCCATTTGCCTTCTCATTCTGTATTACACCTCCTTCCCCCCCTTTTCCCCCCCACTTGTCTGGCATCCTCATTAAGATGATGAATTCTGTTTCTTGCCTAGGTTCCCAGTACCTGGCACAGTACTAAAGATATAGCAGATGCTCAATAAAATTTTTTAAATGAATAAGTGAATGCACCCATCATGAAAAGATCTTAAAACTAAAGCAACTCCTGCTTTTGAAGGAGGCCTCCTCCAGCGTTCCTACAGGGTCTGAATTCCACGAAGGCCTAAAATCAAGAATATGTGATCTTTAAAAGAAGATACCCTGAGTGTGGGCTTCAGAGCCATAGTTACAGGAGATCCTCGATGCACTCGACTGTCCCTCTGTGCCTTTGCTTGCGCTGTTCCTTCTATCCTGCTTTGTCTGTCCAATAAAATCCCTTCTTCACTGTGCAACTCAAAAGTCACTGCCTCACGGAGAACCTCTGATCTCCCTCCTCCATGCTCTTGCTGAATTTCACTGACCACCTCTTCCAGGGTGCACCTTTTCCCACTTCCTGTCACAGCTCCTTGTGTAGCCCACTCTCTCCTATATACTGCTGTGCTATATTTTGTGCATCTTTGCATCTCTCAAAGGGCCTGCAGCCTCTAGACCCTCAATCAGTGGACTGAATGGCTGTATCTGCAGGGGGCTCCAAAGCCCTGATATCTGAGAGCCACAGCCACCTCCAGGGTTCAGAGACACGCTCCTTCCTCGGTCACCCAAAGACAAGGCAGGCCAGGAGGAAAGACTCCTCCATTTGCTGAAGAAAAATGCCCATAATGCTCTGGATTATGCCCCTCGGGATTTTCCAGATTTATGGCAAGATTTTAAATGAAGGGGCTGCTGCTGTGCTAAGAGTATTAGCATGCCCACTAGTGTCCTCAGGTTTGTCTGACTCGTGAAAAGTGGCAGGCAGATCAGCTGCAGGCAGATCAGCTGCAGGCATCTGGTGTTTCCAGCAGTCACTTTCAGTGGACTTAGAAAGATGAGTAAGTTAAAAAGACCTATGAAAAGTTAAAGTTTCTGCCCCTAGCCACTTTGTCTCTGTGCATTGACCATGGGCCTGCGGACTGAAGTGTCTCGGGTTTAATTCCCGTCAAGGGCATACACCTAGCTGTAGCCTTGATCCCGGCACTGGGCACATGTGGGAGGCAACCAAATGATGTGTCTCTCTCACATCAATGTTTCTCTCTGTCTCTCCCTCTCCCTTCCACTCTAGAAATCAATGGAATCTCCGGTGAGGATTTAAACAAATAAAAAAAGAGTGAAAGCTTCTGTACTTAACAACCTGATCAAATCATAATGACCACTAACATTTCTGAAACCATACCCTGTACTGAGAGCTTTATCTCATGTAACAAACCCAGAGGTGCCAACCGAACTCTCTGTGTGTGAGGAAGTGCCTCTGGCTGCTTTTGTGGGTAGAACTGACTTTCAGGAGATGCCAGTTTTTCTGGGAAATGCCACTACCTCAGTGCGACCCTCAGTACATTCCTGGACAAGTCCTTCACTGTGCACTTGCCTCTTAGTTGATGGGGAATTAAAAGTAACTCCTGAACGAAGGCATATAAATTTATAAATTGAATCAAATAGATAAAATAGATTTTCTCCTTTTTTAAAAAATAGATTTCTCCCTGTTGCTAGAGTAGACCTCTTGGAGTGGCAGGACCTCCGTGGGCCCCACTCACTGCACCCGCACTTTGCCAGCTAGCTCCTGTGGCCTTGGTCCTTCTCAGAGACCTTGAGCACAGACATTTTCCTGCGGTTAGCTTTCAGTTGCATTATATACATCATCTAGTCAGTGCCACATTCAGGTCATTGCAATTCAAGGTAAAATGTAATTTCCATTTTTACAAGGTCCTGAGCAATCCTGCTCTCACCCCTAAATAAAGAACATCTTCATTTGGACAAAACTTAGCCAAGGCTCCAAAAGGGTGGTATTTGAGGTATGTGATGTCTGTGGTTTGATAATTTTTTTTTAAAAGAAGTCTATAATATCCTACAGAAAGCTGTAATCCAAGCCTTTTCTGCTACTCTGTCTGACGGATTTATGATAATAGAGCCATAATGCTTTAACAAGACGCCATAGAGAGCAAATGGCTGCTTAGCTGAGAAAGCAGGGGGGAATGGTTCTTTTACCTTCCTTCTCCATAAAGGATTCAGGTAAGAGGGTTTTTCTCCCCACAGACAACAGTGAATATTCCATGGGGGAAATGATCCCCATTATAGCTGCTTCTTGGCCCTAAAAGCTTTTAAGAATGGTGATGCCAGCCTTATAACAATCTATCTCCCTCTTCAGTGTACTCCACTAGGGTGTATCCATACCTGGTTCTCTTCTCCTGGGCAGATCACCCTTCCCAGGCTGGGCAGCCAGGGGGGTTGGCTAGCTCTGCCCACTGAGTTGTGAGAGGAGGGGATGTGTGTGTGTGTGTGCGTGTGTGTGTGTGTGTGTGTGTGTGTGTGTGTGTGTGTGTTGTGTATCACCTGTTTTTCTTTCTCTCCCTTTTCTTCCTTTCTCTCCCCTTCCTTCCTTCCTTCCTTCCTTCCTTCCTTCCTTCCTTCCTTCCTTCCTTCCTTCCTTCCTTCCTTCCTTCCTTCTTTCCTTCCTCCCTCCTTCCCTCCCTCCCTCCCTCCCTCCCTCCCTCCCTCCCGTCCTCCCTCCCGTCCTCCCTCCCTCCCGTCCTCCCTTCCTCCTATCCTCCCTCCCTTTCTTCCTCCTATCCTCCCTCCCTTTCTTCCTCCCATCCTCCCTCCCTTCCTCTCTCCTTCCCAAGGTAAAGAACAGAAGGGCACAGGTGAGATCTCCAGGCTTTCTCTTCCCTGTCACTGTGACTAGCGAGCTGAGTGTGGAGAACTGTGATTGTGGGCATGGGCATGGGCACAGGGAGTGGGGGCAGAGGAGGTGGTCTCTGCCATCCTTGTGACTCACCGCTGTTGAAGAGATACACATACCCTTCCCATGTATCAGCACTGATAGACCCTAGTGAACCATTCAAACCCACCCACCCACCCCTGAGATGCCTCCATGGGGAAAAAGATAGAATTAAGTAGTAGGTTCATCATTGATCTATTTGGAGCTTGCAAACTTGGTCATGTATCTTAACCAGAGCATTGGAATCATATTTGTGATATCCTACTTGAGAAAGTAACTGTCCTTAGGACAAACCAACCAGGGAGTCTGGTGTTTAAAGCAACCAGAATTCAGACATGTGCGTCTTTTCTATCCATCATCAACACACTCTACATAGATTTTCTCTATTCATCTTATTGTTTCACTGAGAGCCACACCTAAACTGATGTTGGGGGAGAATGAGGCACCATTTTGACAAGTGTAGATGCTACGTGAATGTTTCTGGTCTGATTGTCCCATGAGAGGTGGATTTCTTCTCACCTGGACCCTTGAGCTGCCACTAGGACTTCCACCAGCACCAAGGAACCCACACTTGATTAGCTATGTGATAAAATAAAACAAATCTGATTGCTTACTAATATCTTTGATTCAACTTCAGAGTCTAAGAGGTTTTGCTTGGTTCACAGCATTTTTCTGTTTATTTTATCTGTGATATCTCATACTAATGATTATGCCTCATTTTTCTGATCTGTAAAGTGGGAACACTTGGGGGATTTATTTCCCCCTTTTAAAAAAGTTGGGACAAAAAATTCTCCAAAAACATCTCTGAGTTTTTGAAAACCATAATTTAACAAATACCTTCTAATGTTGCTCAATATCCTTTAAGCACCCACGTAATAATTTCCTCCTTAAATCCAAAGCCCAACACAAATATTCTTTGTCCTGCTATGAATATCACATAATCTGAAGTATTTCTTTTTTTACCCCTAGATTCAAGGAAACTCAGCATTGAACTCAGTGTTTATTGGCAATGATTAATTCAATCGAATATTCGGTAAAAACTATTTCTCGATTCCTTGGCATGTTTTTAAAAACTAGTTTTCATCCTACTTAGTGGGTCATTGTCCTTTTTCACTGTTGTTAATCTGGCCAGTCTGGCCAGTTTTATTTATGGGAAATAAAACATAAGTTGAATACCATTTTAGTCAGTTCCAGCAGACACAGTAGCACACTAAAATTAGGTAATTAGAGCATTTAACGAAGGGGCTATTTATAAGTTGTGGCCAGGGAGGAGGACAACCCCACAAGACAGTATGGCATTTTGAGTTGGTGGTCCAGTTTCATTTTTCAGCAAGTATCTGTTCAACTTTCCCAACACCAATTTTTAAAGAGACTATTTTTATCCTAAATTCTCTTGGGAGTAAGCAGAGAACACATCCTGATTAATAAGTATTTCAATATAAACAGCAGGCCTGCATCAGCATTAAACTATAAGAAGGAACCAAGAAGCCCAGGTTCACAAGGTTCCACTCTAAAACAAGCCCCAGATGCAAGAGGCCAGGAGGAAGGCAGATCCCACCCACAGGCACCTAGATGCAGGCAGTTATTCATAACCAAGCCTTCTCTCCACCCCTGGAAGTAACCCCCAGCCCTTCAGTTTCCTGTGGAACTTTATCGATATTTAGGAACAGTCCAAACTTACTCTTGGTGTGGGGCTCCTGTCTTGGTCAGCAAAGTCAGCACAAAAAACATGAAAATCACGAAGACTGCGAGACCAACCCAAAATCCAATCACAATAGAATCTACAAAACAGTGAATACTGGGATTAGCATTTCACAGGAGCTGAAAACTTGGTCAAGAAATCTGAACTTTTTGGTACATTAAATGGTACATCAACAATCTAGGGGACAACCTTAACCCATTTATAGACTGGGGGCAGGTATGATGTGGGGATGAGGGAGAGAGAAAAACCTGGGTCACCTCCATGTTCCCGTCTCAGGTAACACTGAGAGACTTCTGCCTGACTGACCACTGGTTTCCATTTCCCAGTAAAGGAACTGAGGACAGAACATAGGCCACCCAGGACCTCAAGATTCCGTTGAAGTATCTTGAGTTAGAAAATGCCATTTTTAGCAAAAACTGCAATATACAGTTTTAAATGAATTCTGATTCAAACCAACCCATTTTTTCCCAACTATTCTTGCTGGAATAGTTGAGGTCCTCGTTGCCTCTTGCTGAGAACATGCAAATGGCCTCCTGCTTTCTCTTCTAGCTTTCCTTGTGCAGCTGGGTGTGCTTTATTCCAGCTCTGATAGTATTGCTCTTTTATGAAAAACTCAACAAAGATAGACCCAACCTTCTCCAGGTTAAAAAAAGATTCCATACATAAAGCACTTTACCCAATGCCTGGCATTTGAAAAAAGGTAACCTACATTTGCCAGCTATTATTGTTAAATTATTTTCTCCGAGTTTACTCCTAACCTTAAAGCCCATGTCTCACATCAGACTTGTGTGAAATTGTGTCCCTATATGTACCTTAATCTTAGCCACAGCTTCCTAATCCCCATGCCTTTTCGGGGGCTCTGACCTTTACCTGGCTAGAACAACTGTCCCCAACCTAGAGCTGATGCAAGTCCATCCACCCTTAAAGCCACACCTTACACCATCTCCTGGGTAGATTTCCCCAGCTGATGAGCTCTCTCCTGGCCTTGAACCCCATGTCATTCTTGTCTGTGCTTCATTACAAGGGCCCTTATTGATCCTGTCTTGGCAGACAGTCACAAGTGTATGTCTCTAGGACAGGGATGAGACTGGACTGTCTACAGACCCTGGCACAAATATAATAGGGTCTCAAATTTGGAGGGGACAACTGAGCTGAATTATTTTACATTTTCTGATTTATGCTAAGAAGTCAACCTATGTGGGCAGGCAGTGAGAATGCTTAGCAATTTTTAAAAATGGATGGCTTAGACACTAAATGTATAAATGCAAAAGCATTCTAATTAAATTCTAATTCATTTTGTTTAAAACAAAGAAATCAGATTAGCGGTTTACTTTGTACAATTTATACTTTCATTCTGCAAATACTATTGCCTAAAGATTAACCGCTATTATTCAACAATGTGCTGAATAGTCAGCATTCTGGATGCAAAACCCATGTATCTTTCCTGGGGTTAAGCAGGCCAAGGAAATAGAAATTGTACACTTTGCCTTAGAAAGGAAATGAGGCCTAAAAAAGACACAAGGACAAGTCCCCAAAAAACACATGTAAGCAAGTGCAATGACATGTAACAATTCAATTATGGGGGCACAGACTGTGCAACACCATTGTACAAATAAAATGACAGCACCCTGTTCTTCACCAGCTGCCTGCAGAACCAAAGCAAATTCTACAACAACACACATCAGCATCACATTCAACTGAGAAGTGAATCTAGTCGCATTGCCTCACTTTTAAAATCTGTGTATGAGGAAGGGGTTCTCGGAAGGATGGCCTTCCCACTGTAATGGGAGCTGCATTCCAAACCCACGTGGGCAGAGGTGGGAGAGGGTGTCATTCACCCAGCCCAGATCCTTCCCTCTGTCCTTCTAGAGCCCCAGGGCCCTGATAAAAAATGCAGCAATAATGTGGGCCTTGGAGGGCCCCAGCATAGGAGGAGTCTTAGGCGGGCAGAGCAGGGAGGTTTTGTGGTTAGCATTTTAGTATTATATTTCCAAACTGTTGATAATGCAGCATCTATGTTTCTCATCACAATATGTTTCCTTTTTCCTTTCTCATTTATATAGTTTTGCTTATTTACACTTCCCTTCAAATAAAATTTTACTCCCTTACTCTATTTTCTATAGTTCTTCTGTTCTGCATCCTCTGCGTGTGGTCCAACCCCAAGGTATATTCCTACCCTAAACCCCTTTCAGGGATGAATGGAGAGCCCCATTTCGCCCTAGGAATATACAAACTCCCTTGAAATTGTATTTATTTGCCAAGTTTCATGGGCATGGGCACTGTGGTACACGGGGGAACCACAACTCCTGGTCTTCATTAAAACACTCTTTCTTGGAAGGAAGTCAGCGTAGAGATTCAGACTGAGGTTCTGACGAGTGCCATGGTTCAGAAAGCCAAGAGAAGCCTTCCAGAGTGGCTATGAGCAGCAGCTTCCGTCCTGTCTAGAGACGGAGCTTCTTAGAGAGCATTACAGTAAAGGGTGAAGCACATGGCCAAGGGACTTCTAAATGGTATGCATCATAATAAAATAATTTCTCCTCAAGTTGACCTCCTTGCAAGGAACAGCAAATCAGTGTGAGGGATCATGAATGCCAAGGTCAGCATAGGAGTGGCCAGGAAATACTAAACAAGCAAATGCTTTTCCTTTGCCACATCTATATCCCCCATTCTAATCTGTCTTATATTTCCTAATGTGTCCCATTAATCTGAACCAGTTACAAACCTAAAATGGTGGTAGTGCTGCAGATATTCATTCTGAAACAAGCACACATCTCTGGACTATTTATGGGGGCATCAGGACAGGACCTGGGCATGGGCAGCAGTTCCTGCTTGTTATGTCAGCTCTACTTAAGATAACACAGAGGCAGAAACCGGTTTGGCTCAGTGGTAGAGCATTGGTCTGCGGACTGAAAGGTCCCAGGTTCAATTCCGGTCAAGAGCATGTATTATACCTTGGTTGCGGGCACATCCCCTGTAGGGGGTGTGCAAGAGGTAGCTGGTCGATGTTTCTCTCTCATCGCCATTTCTAGCTCTCTCTCTCTCTCCCTTCCTCTCTGTAAAAAATCAATAAAGTATATATATATACTTTATATATATTATACCTTGGTTGCGGGCACATCCCCTGTAGGGGGTGTGCAAGAGTTAGCTGGTCGATGTTTCTCTCTCATCACCATTTCTAGCTCCCTCTCTCTCCCTTCCTCTCTGTAAAAAATCAATTATTTATATATATATATATATATATATATATATAACACAGAGGCTTCCCACAGGACAGTCAGCTTTCAGTTATGACTGGAATAGGAAGTAACCCCTCACAGAACTGTATTTCCTTGCTCTGTGCTGGATCACTAATCAGTCCAATAAATGGATACATGAGTCATATAACACAGTTAGGAATGATCACAGGTTATTCTTGCCCATCATCACGAACATACACAGACACTGCTCTCCCAGCTCCAGTTCCAGAAAAACTAACGGACTGAAAAATGTCGATGACCATGTGTTACATAACAAGGTTCTTCAAAATGAATAGTTCCAGATTCTACTTCTGTCACATTTTTGAAGGTCCAAATGTTTACACAGATTGCGAGAGCTGGAACTGTTAGTACTTTAATGCAATATCTCAGTTTAAGACTGACATTGATTCATGTTCCCCCATATTTCAATTCCTTGTTACTCAGAATCATCAAGGCCCTCATGTAATACCACACATGAGCAGTCATTGTGTATAGAGGGGGTGTTTTCTGGGACTTTGTGGGGTAGAGGAGAGAGTTCTGCAAAAATAAAAATAAAATAAAAAAATGCTAGGAAATCACTGGAGATTTCATAAGTTAAGACAAATACATAAGTAAAAGACTTACATTTATGAGCCTTCAGTCCTTCAAAGGAAACGGGTCCAATCTCATAATATTCATACTCCCATGTGTAGTCAGAGTTAGAGGCAGACTGCTGAGATGTTCTGTTAGAAACTGACCTCTGGGCAGACATCTCCACCCTGCGCACACGGAGAAAGGCAAGTGCAGAGCCTGTTAATTCACCCGCAGCTGCACAGGGACTCTGCTCTTGACCACCTTTGAGACTTCAGCAGGAAGACCATTCAGGGAGGTCCTACCCACTAGGTCAGGGAGAGGCCTTCATGGCTGCCCACACATCCTACAAAGTGACCATTATTTCCTGTTCTCTCTCCACTAGGGTAGAATGTATTTGATATCAGACATGTCTTCTTTTGTTGTTGCCCCCCACACCACATAATTTACCCCAATACATAGTAGTGATCAACTTCCAATAACTGATGAAAGAATGAAGAGGAGAGAGAAAGAGTATATCAATACATCTGAGCTTGAAACTTCAGCCTCGTCAACTATACCTGAGTGAATATGTAAAGAGTCTACAGAGTCCTAGCCAGTTTGGCTCAGTTGGATAGAGTGTAGGCCTGTGGACTAAAGGGTCCCGAGTTTGATTCCAGTCAAGGGCACATACCTTGATTGCCTGGGCCCTGGCCAGGGCCTATGTAGGATGCCTACAACCAATCAATGTGTTTCTCTTACATCGATATTTCTCTCTGTCTTTCCCTCTCTTTTCCACTCTCTCTAAAAGATCAATGGGAAAATATGCTTGAGTGAGGATTAACAACAACAAAAAAAGAGCTTACAGAGAATAAATAAAATCAGTATCAGGAGTGAACTAACTCAGCATATCTCTATTGAGCATCTACTATACAACAATAAAGACATGCAACCTAAGTCTAGTCAAAAGGGATGAAGAAAAGAGAAGTGGACACCATAAGTTGCATAAAGGGAGAAGATCCTCAATGGATGATCTTCCTAAAATTTGTCCTGTTTTCAGGATATCCCATGTGTCTTCTTTCTGAAGACTTCCGATTAGAAAATTCTGACTTTTTTGAGAGAAGAGGTTGTACTGTGCAGCATGGATGCCAAAGGTGACAGGTCTACAGAACCAGTATTAAATACTGAACACCTGCTGTGTGAAAGACATTGTCAATTGTGGGTGATAAAGATTAAATGGCACTTTAAGCAAACATGAATCTTGAGGATCTATGCAAGGAGCTAGGTCTTATGGAAGCATCCATGAGAGTACTACAAGGGAGAACTCCATGTTTGTAGTAAAGCTCTATGGTTCTAATTTCCATTCTCTTTACTCCTTTTCCCTTCTATAAATACCTTTCATATTGGCACAGACCAGAACTTGCACATGACTTGCCCTGTCTGCATGCTCTGGTTTACAAGCCTTTCTTTTTCCCAAATAAATCCTTTCTGCTGATGAAACACCCAATCGACATGGGATAGGAGGAGATACTTAAGACACAGACCAGGACACCACAGACCTTCCCTCATAATGGGGAAAGAATACAAAGTGACAAATAACAGTGATTTGAATGAAATACCAGCCAAAACCAAGATTCAGTGAGCAATTACCACCATTGGGCCCACCCACCAAAAGCTTTCTGAAGCTCCCATTCTTCCACCCGCACTGTAGGTCAGTGTCACCCACTGCCACCTCTTGGGCACAACCCCCGAGAAGCTGAAGCAAAATCTCCACCACCCTTTTGTTTCAAGGCATGCATCTCACTTTCCCTCTTTCTTTCTTCCCCACCTGACTCCAACTGTTTGGCATTATATTGTTCAAAAGATGGAGTGCTCTGAGCTAGAGTTATATATATGCCTGTGCCAGAACTGGTGTGACTCTGAGACCCAGCCTGATGAATTATTCCTCCAAAGGTAGAAAGAAGTGTACCAATTCTCACTTGGGAAAGAAAGCTATGCAGATTTTAAGAAAAGCTGACCTTTAAAGAAGTATTCAGCTCCCTGTCTAATGCCAGCACAAAAATAATATAAAACCATCCCACCAGTATCATCTTCAGCCTTTTTCTTATTTGAACAAGGGGTCATTTCCCCTCAACAACAAAATTAATTTCCTCAGAAAATGAGAACTAATGACTCAAACCTAAGAGGTGCTATCCTCATTCATGAGAATTTTATGAGAGACAGACAGGAGTAGCCACCTCTACAGTTGTAAAGTCAGAGATAAATGACAGATTAAGATAAACCTAATTTCAATTTTAGAATGTTAAGAATCACACCATACAGAGAGAAAGTCACCAAAAGACCAGGGTCTTCATCTTTGCTCTATTTCCATTTGCTATGTGACCAGGCAAGAAACTCGTCTCTCCCAGCCACATTTTCCGCCTCTACAAACCTGCTCATCCTCGCTGTCTGAAGATGCTGTTGTCAGAAAATGGTATGGCTACATTCACTAATAGCTACCATGATCACCCAGCTTGGTTTTTTTTTTTTTTGCTTCTACTGTTACTAACTGCCAGAAGCCAGTTTCAGCATGTCATAATTGCAAGTTTCATCGAAAGGTTGATGGAACTTGGGGACTCAAGGGTAAAGCACATATGTTATTGCCTGCTGGAATGGCTAAAGGCATTTCCACAAACCTGAAAATGAGACTTGCTGTCAGACAGCTCAGGGGATCTCAATCTAGAAGTTATTGCCACCTGTTGGCCAAACACCTGAAGGCAATTCCTCAATCTGACAATGGATTCTGTACAAAACCCTACCCTTTGATGTGTATATCTCCACCTTGCCTAAGAATAAATTGTGTTAATAAAAAGCAAGAGGTCCTGAGACAAGGAGAACTTGATTTCTTCAGCCAAGCTCCTGATGCTTCCCCTCTTCCCCCTCCTATATGCCTTTCAAAATTATGTTTCGTCTCTGGACTCTTATTTAATATATGCACAACCCTTTCTCCAGGTTTCCTGAACTCTTCTAGACGCTGGGTCAAGATCCACAGGCGTTAAATGGCGTCCAACGTCCAGCATTAACTAATTCACTGCAATCCTTTCTCCACATGTCAGCCAATGACCTTTAAAACAAATTGCCCTTGTCATTCCTTTGCCTAATTCTTTTAATGCCTTCTCATTGATCTAAGGATAAAGTCTAAAATCATTAAAATGTCCTATAAGGTCATAACTTGGGCCTTGATGTCTCCTCTGATCATGCCACATTCCCTATCAAACTGTATTTGCATTGTTTGCATTTCCTCAAACACTTCATGCTCTCTGCTACCTGCACACATGCTGTTCCCTCTGGCAGGAATGTCCTTCCTACCATCACATCCCAACCCATTCTTCCTTCTCTGCTCATCATCTATACCAGGGATCACCAAATCTTGCCAATTACCGGCTCCTATACTGACTGCAAGTAAAAAATTATTTTTACATTTTTAATGGTTAAAAAAATCAAAAGAATGGTAATATTATGTGACGTGAGAAAATTACATAAAATTCAAATATCAGTGTTAAGAATAAAGTTTTATTGGAACACAGCCATTTTTAAAGGCTTCTGTAGTATTACGATAACAGAGCTGAGGAGTTGTCACAGAGATAGTGTGGACCAAAGTCTAAAATATTTATTTTCTGGTCTTCTATAGAAAGAGTTTGCCAACCCCTCCCCTAGAGCAATGAAAAAAAAAAAGAAAGAAAAGAAAGAAAGAAATAATGAAAGATCTGAGCTTCAGTTTTTCCATCAGGAAAATGAAGATGGTATCAGTACCTACTTCACAGGATTGCAGTTAAAGTTTAAATGTGATATTGCATAAAATATGGCTCTCCAGGACCCAGGTCAAGATCAATAAATAGTAAGCCGGCACTATTATTATTATTAGCTAAGCTATGCTCATCTGGGACAGAAAAGCCTAGGTTTGTTCTTCAGCCACTCCCTTGTCAGCCAATTCTACCAAATTCACCATGTAGTCAATTGATTTATGTGTTCTAGACAAATGAATAAAATTATAATAAAAATAACTCAGAAGACATTTGTTCAGGTTTCTTGAGAAAGTTATCACGAGAAACATGTACATCCTGGAATTCATGCCGCTCCATCCATCAAAAAGATGGTAATAATCTATTTACTGAAGGGAAATAAGATGAAGTCTGGCTTGAACATATCATTTTTATTGGAAATCAGTATTACAGACAATGTAATAAGCTGAGCAGAGGGAAGCACCAGGCTTCATCTAGTGTCAAGACTGTTAATAGAAAAACAGCAAAAGTACATCAAACAATGAAAATAAAGTGGGGATATTGTCTTCCATGTTCTGTCTCAGCTGCTGGCCCCCTGGCTATACTGTTCTCCACATCTGCACACATTGCTGGCCCCAGCTGTGGTCTTCCTGTCACTCTCTCAGATCAGAAAGAAACACTGACACCCCCCTCACAGGGCTGACCAAGGACGAACATAAAAAATAGCTGTGAAAGAGTCAGACCCAAGAAACATCAACCACTTACCTACCCTAGAGAAAATGCTATTTAATTCCTCCTTTTTCTCCTCCTTACACCACTCCTGTTCATCTAATGAGCCATTTAGGGATGGAGAGAGACCAAATGTAATGGAAGTCACATCTGCAAAGACCCTGAAAGTGGAAAGGCTGATCTTTGCGCTGACAAACGCACCTGGAGACAAGAGTGAGTAACAGAGTCAAAGGTTCTGAGTGAATAACAGTATCAGAGGTTCTTCCAGGAATGAAAGGCTAGACAGCCCCTCCTCAGCAGCCACCATTTCAGCAGCCTTCGCATAAAAGCAGAGGGTTTTGTTTTCACTGTTTTCCCCTCTCAGAGACAGGTTTGGAGGACAGAACCTCTGGCCTCTCCTTTAAAGCAGTCACCTCGCAACCTTACAAAAGGCATTATTTTTTTCACCCAAGCCTCAGAGTAAGCAGCTGGGTGGCCAATGGCACAGTGATGCCCAGCAAGCAGGAGTCTTAGCAAGGCTGTGTTTTGTATAGCATCCGTTATCAAAAACAAGGCTGCCTTTCTGAGCTTTGCAGAAACATAAACTGTCACTGTGTCACCACTCCAAAGCTGCCAGCAAGTCTGGGTAGCAGCCCCAGAGGCTGATATTCTCACCAGGAACATCTGGCTGACAACAGGCAGTGAGGGAAAGGTCGTCTGGTACCAGCATACT